AGGAAGAGAAGAAGCAGAAGAATTATTACGACGTTATTCACATCTTGGAGATGGCACATTTTTAGTTAGGCAATGCGTTACATTTGTAGGTGATTATTGTCTCTCTTTCTGGCGCAAGGGAAAAGTAAATCATTGTCGTATTAAACTCAAGCAAGAAATGGGTCAAACGCAATATTATCTTATTGATACTAATTGTTTTGATAGTTTATATAGTTTAATTACGCATTACCGCAATCATCCACTAAGAAGTCAAGTAAGAATAAAACATTGTAACTAATTTTAATAAAATTAAATTTAATATTAAATAGAATATTTACAAATTTTCTAATTTAAATGAATAGGAATTTTTAATCACGCTTCAAGAACCAGTTCCACAACCAAATAAACACGAAGAAAAAGAATGGTGGCACGCTGAGTGTACCCGAACTTTAGCTGAAGAAATGTTAAAACGAATTCCTACAGATGGTGCATTTTTAGTAAGACCAAGTGAAAAAGAAAGCAATTCTTATGCTATATCTTTCAGGTAAAATATTTTAAAGCATTAATTATTATCTAAAATATGATTTCCAATTATTCAAATATTTCTTTATATAATTTTAATGTTTTTTCTTTCCTCTTTTTTCTTTATTTTAGAGCAGAGAAAAAAATTAAGCATTGTAGGATTAAATTAGAAGGACGTCTATATACTATTGGGACTGTACAATTTGAAAGTTTGGTTGAATTAGTTAATTATTATGAAAGGCACCCTTTGTATAAAAAAATCAAATTAAGTCATCCTGTAAATCAAGATGTTATTAGAAAAATGGAATTGGTATATGATATTTTATATTTTTACTTATTAAATAAAAATATGCTTATTCCTTTTTGATACATTATTGAATTATTTTATTACATTTAGGATGTAGATGATGGGTCTGTTTATGGTATTCCTGGTTATATGGATCCTACCAGTTTTACCTCAAAAGTAAGTTTCAATATTAAAGTAATAAGTTATGTAAAATATAACTTAATTTATTTTCAAGGTGACTGTGAAAGCTATATATGATTATAAAGCAAGACGAGATGATGAATTAACATTAGTAAAACATGCTATAATAACAAATGTACATCGGCAAAGTGGTGGTTGGTGGCGAGGTGATTATGGAGGTAAAAAACAACATTGGTTTCCCGCTAGTTACGTAGAAGAAATAAAACCGCAAGATAATCAGGGAGATGTAAGTCATTTTGACTTATATTTATTATCTTAAACATTATTATTTATTATAGTCATATATCTTTTTATTTCCTACTTTCAGTCAGCAGATTCTATGATGTTTGGTAGTTTACAGAAAGGTTCATTGGATATTATGGGTGCTGTTGTTGAATTAAGAGTAGGCGGTAGATCTGGATTAGAATGGATATTAAGAATACAAAATCCTAGTATGTGTTCAGTATTTGAAGTAGCAACTTCTTCAAAAGATACAGCTCTGGAATGGATGTCCAGTATTAAAGAAACTGCTCAAAACGCTAGTGTCAGAGTAAATATATACATTTTAATAATATTTAAATTTAAATTATTATTATTCAATTATATTATAATGTATTTTAACTTCTCTTTTTAGGAAAATCAACATAAAGAAATGGAACGTGCATGGAGAATAGCTAAAGAAATGTCTAACCTAATAGTTTACTGTAGATCTGTTGCATTTAATTTAGACAGAATAAAAACTAAAGGTTTTGTATTTAATGAAATGAGTAGTTTTCCGGAAACAAAAGCTGAAAAACTTATGTGTCAGCAAGAAAATAAATTTTTCATAAAATATCATCAGGTGAAATAATATAAAATTATAATCATTTTCAATTTGAAAGACAAAAATGTTTGTAATCATAATTTTGCAGATTCAATTTAGCAGAGTATATCCAAAAGGACAACGTATCGATTCATCAAATTATAATCCTGTGTCAATGTGGAATGCTGGCTGTCAGATGGTAGCATTAAATTATCAAACTGGCGATAAATCAATGCAGCTTAATCAAGCAAAATTTAAAGAAAACGGCAATTGCGGTTATATTTTAAAACCAGAGTTTATGTTTAAAGATGACTTTAATCCTTATGATAAGAATTGTTTACATGGAATAGAATCTCTTAAATTTTCTTTGAAAGTTATTAGTGCAAGACATTTAATTAGATCAGGAAGAGGTATAGCTAGTCCTTTCATTGAAATTGAAATTATAGGGGCAGACTTTGATTCTGGTACAAAGTTAACAACAAAAACAATATGTAAGTATAAAATTGTTATATATTTAAATATTTCAATACCTGAAAAACGATTAAATTAATATTCTAGCTGATAATGGATTCAATCCCATGTGGAATGAATCTTGTGAATTCGAAGTTTTTAACCCGTACTTCGCATTCATACGATTCGTTGTGCAGGATGAAGATATGTTCGGTGATAGTAATTTTATTGGACAGGCCACGTATCCCGTATGTGTAAAGTTATTATTTTTAGATTACTAATTAAGTATTTTATTATTTTTAATACATTTATACATTTAGGTTCGATGTTTACGATCAGGTTATAGAAGTGTCCCATTAAAAAACAATTACAGCGAAGATCTTGAACTCGCATCATTATTAATACATCTTCAAATTACATCTTCAGGAGTAAGTACTTTTTATTATTATTTTATTACTATTTAACTCTGTTATTTTCTTAAATATATTTTCTGTATTATTTATAATTATTGTAGATACATTCACATAATTTATAAAACTATATTTATAATACTAAACTACGAGTCTTAAGGTGTTTAAATGCATATCATCAATGGAAAACGGTAAAAGCTCAAAATTTGTATTTCCTTATGAAATAGTTTTTACATTTTTACATATAGCATTATTTAATATAAATTCCATTCTTCTAGATTATTATTTATTATAAATACCACTGTATGAAATACTTCAATCAAAATCTTAATTGAAATATTGTTATAAAAGACTGGTTATTTACAAGGATTTAAATTTTCAAATTAAAATCAACGGTTACGAAGAATATACTTTTCTTTTTGTAACCAATTATGTAGATAATTAAAGGACATTATATATTATATATAATGTCAAAAGAAAGTAGTTATTACAGTATTGTCAAAATAGTAGATACTAAACAAAGTTAAATATGAAGGAATGCAATAATATTTTTAAAAACATGATATATTAATAAAATATTTGTGATATAAAAGGATTTAAAGAAATCTTAAGCATATACTTCTACTTAGCTTATAACTCACATAAAAATAGTACATAATGTAAAAAGATCAATGTGATTTAGTATAAACTACTTTTAAATTTTTTATATAAAAAAATAACAGTTTAAGATGTTTTTTTAAATTATACCACATCTCTTTTATTGAAACAAAAAAGTAAATACAATCAATGAACTCTTAAACAATGATACGATTTAGTTTAAACTAATATGCACAATATGCTCCTAATTCTTTTAATTAGAGAGCTACTTCCACGTTAATGCTATTTATTTATTATTTCAAAGATATATAATTTTAATTTAACTATATAGCATATGGAAAGATTAAATGATAAAAGGCTGATTGTTAATTGATAAAAGCACATATGTATTGCCTTTCATATAAAATCATAAACTTTTGGCTATATGAAACTAGATTTAAATATGCTCATTGTTAGGTAATGTATCATAATGTTACGTATTCTATATGTAATGGTAGAATAATAATAGAATACTAAAAAAATAACACTAAACACTATTAGATACATGCACTTTTTAGTTAATGTTATATAAGAACTATTTTTCATTTTTTTACGTTTTATTTTCACGTGTAAGTACATATTTTATATACCATAGAATCTTTTATCATTGTTCCTATTATTACAAATTTTTATATTTAATTAATATTACTATAAATTACTTGTTTGAAACAAGTAATAATGGCATTTTTTTATATAATTTTATATAGTGTATTAAATACATTTCTTATCTTCTTCTTCATAATAATTTTACATTATAATGATTGCATTATAAATTTATTCCGATTAAAAAACTTTTTAATTTTAATTTTAAAAATAACTTTATGTAATTCGATTTTTTTTTGTTTACGAATATCTATTATACTTAAAACAACATTTAGTTAATATTTCTTTATTTTCTAAACAATGATGTAATGTTAGCAATAGTATTAAGTTTGCCTTTTAAAATCACATATACAATTGAGATAATAAATTATTCAAATACTATACACATATCAAAAATATATACAAATCTGTATTAAATATAATTATATATTATATGCAATTAATTGAATAAAACTGGAAAATAAAGTATCATATGCTATAATTTATTTATTCATTCATTTATTATTATAAATACCCATTTACAACAGATCAAATATAAAGATGATTTCCTCACTAGTGGACTCAAAGGCAGTACCACCGCTTAAACATTGCAGCAGGTGTCCCGCGTCCTTATGTGACAACCTGACGAATGCGTATAACTACATTTGTAGGCTTATATATGTGAGCTGTAAAGTTTCAAATGCTAAGGATCACTGTTTACACAGTACTATGTAAGTATATATCTTTGAGGTCATTAGTAAGCGAATCACCCTATAGAATTTTCTTAACATGAGATCAATCTACTCTTAAAATTGAAGACAATTATCTTTCAAATATATTAAATCAATTAATGTTGAAACTATATTTTCTTTTTAATTTTCACCTATTTAATAAAATATTTTTTTCTGGTCTTTTAACATAACTTTTTAATCATGACTCTCCTTAAAAAATTCTTTTAAATAAAATTCTCTTTAACACTATTAGGTAATAATATTTAATATTAATTTATATTTATTTCTTAATATACAAATTAAAAGAAACAATTAATGAAGTATACACTTTATTGGATGAAATATGTTAAAAAACAACATTATATATATATATTTATTAATTCTAAATGTAAAATTCTGCATAACTGAAAAAGGAATATATCTTGTTTTGGACAAAATTTATTCATACAGAATATTTTTTAAATAATAATAGGTATGAAATTATAATATTTTTTCAATTTTAGTTGTGAACAAGTTACAAACTTTTTTTAAGATATTCATCAAATAAAAATATAGATACAGATGGATCACGTTCATTTAACAAATTCTTTAAATCATTTGTATAGCCTGCTAAGTCTCGAACACGATCAGCTTGTGCTTCTAAGAATTCTTCTTCGATATAATGTGCAATAGCAGCATCATGTTTGTCATTATGAAGTTGTGTTTGAGAATGTATACGCATAGCTTCATGTGCAAGCTGTTTCTGAGTATCAAGTGCTTTAGCCAAACTCTTAAGTTCATTCAAATCTATTACCAAATCATCTTTTGCCTGAAAAAAATATAAATGTAATGTTTAATTCCTTGTCATATTTTTATATTATCAATATAAGTTATAAAATATAAAAATGTCCATACAGATTTCTTATAGTGTGGTAACTGATTAAAGTTCATTCTGCCACCTCGTTTGGTAATATATTTGATTATGTTAACTGCATCCTCCCACATTTTATCAGAATATTTACGATATAATTTTTTAAATCCTTCACGTTGATTTTCATAATTCCCAAAATAACTAGACAATAATAAAAACTCAAAACTGGATTCAATATTACCATTTGCATATGACTGAAGATCGACTGTAAAGTTATTGATTGAACCATATACTGCATTACAATTTTGCATTATTTCTCCATCTAAAAATATAAATGGCAATCTATAAGTATAAATAAATTTTAATATAAACATCAGTCTTTAAAGAATTATCTATTTCTATTTCACCTTGTTCAGGTATTTGGCTACAAGCTTTTTCCACATCAGTATAACAGAAATTAGCAGATGTAACTGCTAAAAGAATAGATAATATTCCAAAGAACAACATGTTTTCTGTAATTTTAAATAACAAATAAAATAGAATATAAGTAATAGATAGTTGTATAATTACAAATAATGTTCATTTGTATTATTTAAATAATATGTATAAGAAATTAACTATTTCAGATTATTTCACATTGTTAAAATTTATTTCTTAGTGAAAAATATTATATACTATTAAATACATGTAAGTAATAATTAAATATTAAATAGTACATGCAACTAAATTCACATTTATAGAAATATACTATATTAGTAATCGAAAACCGATAATGAAATATACGACAATTTAATTACGAGTAGAACTTAATATTGATACAACATAACTTAGAATGCGAAATAAAGAATGTAGATTCGCTTGTAATCTGAATACGTCACACGTATATATAAAAAAAAAATTTATATTGTCTGTAGATATTACATACCACATAGTGGCATCTTCGTCACTGCAATGAAATGCGCAATATCTCGCGTATCAAATGAAAGAAATAACGTAAAAACAAAGATATATATTTTGTAATTGTATTAATTTCAGATATTATTTTTGTACTAAATATACATAACTATAATGAAATAAAGGAAATTTAAATTATGTATATCACATACCTACTTAAACGAAGTTCTCGTTCAAAAGGAAGCAACGTGAATACTCTCGCTTCGACGTTCTTCCAACAATGAACATCGAATAACCACGTTCGTTGGAAGTTTTCAGGGAGTCATAGTCAGCTGATAGGTGGAGCGCATGCGTGATAGAAAGAGAATAGAAAATTCCAGTTACTCCCCGTCGATTAAAGTACGAATGGTACGCAATTTGTTGGTCAATTATTAAAAGATCGATGGTTGTTCATCGTGTTTAGTTCACGCACGTTCTCTTATCTAGCTTCACTAAAGGCAGCCTTCTATACCAGTGCGTATAAAGGTTGCTTTCGAAACGCAAAATTGCAAATACTGTCGTGATTCTTTTTAAATTATAGTCTCTGAAAGCAATTAACGATGAAGCTGCTTTACGTTTTCCTTGCCACTTTCCTTTGCATCAGTGGATCGCTAGGCGGTGGTCTTAAAAAATGTAAGTTAATAATTTATTTTATAGTATTTAATTTGGATCATTTTTTGACATTTTTTTATGAAAATATCGATTGAGGTTAATATAGTATTTCCCAACAAATTCCATTACCTACTATCCTTTTTATTTTTAAGACCAATGTTGTTCTCGATCAAACTACTTTGTATTTCTTGAAAAATGTCAGTTATACAGGTATGGTATATTTATTAATACTAATACATTTCATTCTATAACTGATAATATACAAAAAAGCATAAGTATAATTTATTTGTCTTATAATGGAACAATTTAACATTTGCCTCTTTCGTAAGGAATTAATTCTTTTAATTAACTGTGTTATATGTATATCATTTTACGTTAATTTGCGTTCCATTAAATATAAAATTTCGTATTTCAAATAGAATACCAAAGGTTAGATGACCTTAACAGTAAATGATAACTCAATTGTAAATATTATTAATTAGTTCCATATTGCTTCAGTATATTAATATATTAACTTTCATGTAACTATTTGTGCAATTGTGGAAAAAGATTATATTATATATTTTTCATAAAAATAAATGTAACACTTAACAAACATATGCTTATACTTTTTGTTATTGTGAAAAAGCATGAGTTTGCACATTATCTTCTTTGTCATTTCAAATAGCTCAAACTTATTAGTCATAATTTGATTTCATAATTGACATAGTACTATTGCACATTAGTATTTATAGATATTATCAGAAATTTATTGTTTTAAATATTGTATAAATAATTAAATTTATGATGCAATTTCTATGATGTTATTTCTTCATTTCTTTACTCATAATATTTATCTTACTATATGTACTTTTGCAGTATATTTGTATGCTTTGCAATAAATATTTTAGATACTTTAGCATCATTCTTATCTATAGAATTTTTGTGTCTCATATCTTTAATACTTTATTGACCTAATTCAAAATAATCATATTATGCATATGAACGAAGATAAAATTGTAATATAACCTCATTATTGAAGATTCATAATTAATATTACCATTATGTGTGGTTACTAAACAAAATCATATCATGATAAAGAAAGCGTTAATAAAATGATACAATAAAAAATACATTTCTTTTATATTATTTGATTAATCACCATGATTCATGATTCTTTATAAAATTTTAAAATTTATATGAAGTTAAATTTTATATACTTAATATTATATTGTATGTGTTTATTCATTTGTAACTTTTTTTTTTTGAGAATATCTGTTTTTATAGTTGAAAAATATTTAGTTTATTCAGAATTTCAAAATAGGTTAGTGGATTTTCATGATACTATAGTATTAATTATATGATCATTATTGAGGATCTTATTTATATAATGATAACATTTGATAAGTTTTATATGATAATATAAATGTATTGATTACTGCATGTTCTAAAGTCCAACTCTAATGTGAATATATTGTACATTGTTCTGAGAACTCAGATAATTTAATCAAATTACTCTATATCACTGACTTCCTTTCTCATAGCCACAAAACAGGTTTTTGTTTCAAACAAAAACATTTGGTATTTATTTCTTCATATTATTCATCTGTTGATATCAATTTCTTTTGCCTCTTTGTTTCATTACTGTCATATCATATATATTAATGTATTGAAATATAATAAAACTATTTATATAAAATTATATAAAACTGCTTAAGAATTATGTGTATCACAAATATATACATGTACATGTACACATACATGTTCATAAAAAAAAATTAATGATAATATATAAAATTAATTAATTAAATGATAATGGCAATTAAGGTAATTGATAAGTAACTATTTGTTTTTGTAATTATAAAAGATATGGGAATATAATCTTATCTTGAATAAAAGATATTAGAATTGATAAATTGTGATAATTGTTTTATTTATTTGTGATTTCAATTTGATGTAACTATAATATTATGAAATATCACAATAGTATTTGAACATATTTAACAGACAAATTTGCATCAATTTATTTATATTTTTCATTATTGTTTACTGTATTGGTTTTATTTATATATGTTTGATAAATTATACATTATTGTATTTTTAACTTATATGTGTAGGTACACTTAAGTCTACAGATATACCAAAGTCATGGTGGGACATGGTTGAACCATGTATTAAAATTTTGGAATCTCAAGTGAAAACTGAAATTGAAGCTGCTATGACTTATCTTGCAATGGTAGTTATATTTTTTTATTATTTAATGATTTTGTTAGGAATGTTGAACTTGCATATTGTATTCTATTTTAGGGTGCTCATTTTGCTCGTGATACAATTAATCGTCCTGGATTTAGTAAGTTCGCCTTTGATGCTGCCAATGAAGAAAGAGAACATGCAATAAAAATTATTGAATATCTATTAATGCGTGGTCAATTAACAAATGATGTTAGCAAACTTTTGAAATTCCCTTTGGTATGTTAAAATTTTTGATTGCAAATATAATTTTATTTTTATTTACAGTGTACAGTTTAAAATTTAATTGTGAAATTAAAAATATACAAATATTGCTTTCAGAAACCATTGCGTGAGAACTGGAATAGTGGTCTTGATGCCCTTAAAACTGCTCTTGCCTTGGAAGTTAATGTTACACGTAATATTCACGATATTAACAAAAAATGTGAAAAGCCAGACCCTCTCACATTTAATGACTATCATGTAAGTTATATTACAACAAAAAATCTATGTAGTGACATAGTTTTTAAATTTATTTTATTTTACTAAATTATTTAATTTCAGTTGGTAGACTATCTCACTGGAGAATTTCTAACTGAACAATATAAAGGACAGCGTGATCTTGCTGGAAAAATTTCAACTTTGGATAAAATGATGGGAATGCATGGAGCATTAGGAGAATTCTTATTTGATAAAAAACTTTTGAACAATGAACTTTAATTTGTACTTGAAGCAACAAAAAACTTATTCCAGCAAGTGTATATGAAATTATGACCATGTTTAGAATGAACCATATAACTTAGGTTAATTTGATTTTAAGTTAGTATAAAAGATAAATTTTGTTCTATATAAAATATTTTTCTAAATGTGGTCTGTAATATAGACGTACAAGAAACCCTGTTTACAAATGTTTGTTAAACTATAATAAATATATTACTCTTACCAAATAAATGAATGTTTTAAGATTCATAAGATCATTGCATATTTTGTTCATTGATACTATTAAAATATAAATTTATTATTAAATTATGAAATTTTTTTATTATAATAGCACTAACCAATCGTATTTTCAACAGTATAATATATTTATGATTAGAAAATATATAAAAATATAATTAAATGAAAAATTAATTAGAAATATAAGAAAGTTTGCAGATCCTAGTTAGATCCAATGAAAGAAAGAGAGGTAATTTTTAACTGGTAAGCATTTGGTGCGGTACCAGTCTGCAAACCCTCCAAAGTTATCTCTTACCCTTAATATTTTAAAAAATTTTCGATTTATAGCGAAAATGAAATATTACATAAAAACTAAAAATGTTAGAATGTTTTAATCTTAACAAAATAAAAGAGAAATTTCTGAATATATTAATATTTATACTTATAAATAATATTTTCTAACTCTAAATTATTGTAAATAACCATTGAAGTTCAAAAACGTGTTGATATGTAATATTTATGGATTATTTTTTCACTTTAATGAAATGTTGTTTATTTAGCACGAATTTGCTGAATAGTATCAATTCTGCAGATATTCACGAAGAAAAAATTGTTTAGCAAAAGTGTCAAAGCGAAAGAACGCGAACATGATGTTAATATGCAGTCACTGTTTGCCTACCTCAATTCAACAGTATTATAGCTACGCATCCTATATTGTTGGTGCTAATGTACATTCACTTAATGGACGTAATTATGATAAATATCTCTTATGGATTCTTGCATATCAATCACGGGATTATTAAAAATTGTATTAATTACTTTAAATTTTGATAAAAAAAAATAAAGAATTATATTAGAATTTTAGTATCTCAAAAAATACTTGCGAAATATTAAATAAAATAAAGCAAATATAAATATCTATTTACAAGATTTTTGTTTTGATCCTTTTGAACTGTAAAAATATGGTAGGAAAAGGAAAAGATTTATTAAAGAAACTTTAAATAAAATTTTCCTCAACGATCCTACACGAACTTTAAGAAAAATATTAAATACATGATGATAATACCTGATGTCAAGTTTCATATTTTTTCTATAAACTATATTAATTATTAATTTTATGGTTTCAAGGCTTATATAAACAGGTGGCTGCTGGAGTTGAAAACAGTTCTTTGCAATCAAGTTAGGAGTGCTTTTTGTTTTATCAGCTTTTATCATGTATTATCTAGCAACACACCTCTACAGCTTATCGTCATACTGCAAAATAAATTGATCGAGGAACCGATTGATATATGATTTAATAGAAAAGTTATATTTTATTATGCTCAATTAAAATGAAGCAGCAGTTTTTATGGAATAAAATGAGAAATCATATTACAAAGATGACTCATGATCATGATACGGATACAAAGAATACGTCATACAGAAATGACTAAATTATATTAAAAACGTAGTATTCTTTTTAATGTCGGTAAACTTTAAGAAATTACTAAAAGAACAACACAGATATGATAAACGTATATTTGTAATTATTACTTATAATATAAGTAGATAAATATAATTTATAAATTTTAGGAAATGATAAATTTTTCGTTACTACTTTTACTAATTAATCAATCACTTTACATATTTTATATTAACAAATCGCAAGAAAAATTTATTTTACTACATTTCTTATCCCTTATCCTTCGCATTAAATATTTATAAGTTGCTAATTTCAATATAAATATATTTGCTGTCTCGATACAAATTTATCAAACGTGTGGTACTATTATGTAACTTGAAACAATGTATATGTAATCTGTTCTAGTAGGTAATTTTGAATTGATTGTATTAATTTATTAATTATAGAAAAAGTTTATTTGTGCTCGTTGCATTATATATCAAGCTTTTTAGGTGATTATATAAGTTTAACTCGACACACATCATATACATATACACGCGCGCACGCATGCATTGTAGAATATTATTTATTGTGCATAAACAAAACTTTGTCATTTAAAGATTCGAAGTACATATTTCAAGTAGATAAATTAACACAATAAAATATTTAGTGTATTAATTTAATTACATACAATAGTTATTTTTGGGGAAATAAAGCGTTATTACATATTTATGGATGCCTAATATGCCACATCCTACTAGTAAATACAATATTACGAAATGTTAAATTTCCTTTTTTCATGTATAGCCTTATATCACCTTGAGAACTATTATGTTTATAAGTACATGATTCCGTTTTAGTCTATGTTTACATGTGCATGACATAAAAAATGATACAGCATTCCAATTAAAAAATTGAAGGTCATCTTTGTTTTATAAAAAATATTATAAATATAAAAAATTGGAATACGCTATCATGTCGGCAATAAAATATATTACTTTTCCTCTCTCATTTTTTCAATTACGTACCGTTAACGAGAATAATGTTGATTCAGATACTGAGAACACTTGTATATATAGAACGAGGTAGATAAGCATGTACATATGAAGATATAATTTATTAAGCAATGTTAATCATATAAAGCATACAAATTTTAGGTTCAAACATATTTCAATGCACATCAAAGATAAAGATATAGAATGGATTTTGTGTAATGAATGAATTTTGAATGTTATATTTATATATAATCTTATATAATATAATATAATATAATTAACAATTTACTTGTCTATTCGTATTAATTAAATATATATGTATAAAATTTAATCAATACATACATATAATATAATTGATTGCAAATATTATCTCTTATATGCATAATAAATCTTTACAAATATTGTATAATTAAATATTATTAAATAATATAATTAAATTAGATCGAATAATTGTACAAAATTACAATATTTAATATAACAAATAATATGATAAAATATCTATTTAAATTAATTACAATCTTTTATATTGCTCTAAAATTGAAAATGATTTATTATCTTTTATAATCTATTGTAATTCTGTGCTATAAAAAATGTAATTATTATTTCTCTTAGACAATTATGAAGAAGTATTATAATTATAGTTGTATTACAAATTGTAATTAAAAATACTTAATCTAGAAATTACAATTAAAAATATTCACAATACTTCTTAAATAAACCATTTAAAAGTTAATAAGATTTATGTTGGAACACACAATTTGTATTTATAAATTTATATACTACTTATAAATTGTACAAAAAAATATATTATAAGTTACTATATATTAAATTTAATGAAATGATAATTAACTAAGAAATATAAAATTTACTTGTTCAATTTATAACTCAAAGAAAATTACATTTGGTAATAAAATAATACGTATTGTTAAAAAACAAATTATAATTTTAATATAATATTAAAACTTTTGTATATACCATAAAATACATAAATTAAAAAAAATACTAACTTGATGAAAACACAATTTTTGCATAATGTCAAAGCATTTTGATATTTAGTTTCTTTTTTTATATTTGTATTATAGTTATACATAATATTAATATAATAGCTAAAATCTTATTGATGGTATCATAATACCAGATGTATACATAATTAAATATAGTAACATAAAAGCAGTTCTTATAAACTTTCCTAATTAAAAATATTAAAATTTACATATATTCACAACTTTTTATGTGCTTCTATCGTTGTATTTGTTTATGTCGTTGAATAATTGTATCTAATATTTTAAATATTTAGCATAATTATGAATATTTAACCATATAATTTAATAATTACATATGTGTGATATATTTACAAAAATATTCCATAAAATATAAATATCACACACTCTGGGTATACAGAGTAAATTATTTAGCCCTTTCTGTTTTCTTCATAAGCTGCTAATTCTTTCTTTTCTTTCTTTAAGTTTCTATCTTCAAATTCTAATCTGTAATTAAGCACTACATAAAGAACTTGATAAATCTGTCTTTAAAATTTGGGATATGCAAATGTTGTTTATTACTTTGGCTATGTTAAACTATGTGAAGTATAGATTTCATTATAAAAAGCATACAGCTATGAACAAGTATAAATACAACATATATTCATGAAGTATTTTATTAGCATAAAATTGCATATCCCGTTATAAAAGCATGAATAGATGAATGACAAAAGATTATGAAGTAAAAAAAAATTATATTCATTATAAATTGAATAAGAAATTATAAAATGCAAGATGACAAGATTCAATTGGCTAATATTTGTTCAAATTCACAATTATCATATGTAGTCGTACATAAATCAAATTATCATTTGATGTAGAAAAACAAAATGCTGCATACAGTATATTTTTATGCAACTATAAATTAATAATAATCTTAAATCACATTAATCGTATCTATATTCCAATAAAATAAATATGAAATAGGATGATTTTTAACTTGATAAAATATAATAATGTCAAGTACTTATTAAAATTAATCATATTATTTTTAACACGTTCCCTGCCACGTGAGGCGTATGCGCGCCATACACGCGGCGTGATGGTCAATTTTTTTTACCGCAACTTGTTTTAACTGCACTTTTCGTGTTTCGATCAGTCATTTATTCGCGTGTCGTTGATACAACAATTACTGCTTCATTGAAGCTGAGATTTATTTATAGTTCAGTGTGTTTCTAAAGTACAATAAATGAAGAAAATACGGTACGTATATTCTATTTCAGTGTTACAGATTAGGATATTTTGCATTTAAAAATGTTTGCAATTTTTCCCTCCTTCTCTTCCTCAGACCTTTTCCAAATTTTACAACAATTACTCCTTATAAGCGGATGTTGCGACGGCAATAATACTTGGAAGACGCGCCTAGCCGTCCTTCTTAAGGATTAACAAATTATTGGTTTGTTGTGTTATGCATCTTAAACTATACACCCTTTCCTTGATAATTATGATTTTTGCACTATTTTAATCATTGTAAGGCATACGCCAGAAACAAAACAATACAACTGTAAAGCGTGGGGCGCATACATCTCATGCGGCCTGAACGGAAAGTCTTCAAAAAACGGTCTGGCAGGGAACGTGTTAAAGATTCAACACTCCTTTATTCAGAGATCATTAGAAACCATCTTATAATTATATTATATTTAACTCAAATATAACATATCATAACATATAAAATATAAATATTTCTAACAAATTAATTATTACTTGTTTTTAATTCTTCTAAACTCTTCTAAATGATTAATTTCAAAATTTTAGTTTTAATTTATTTTAAATCTTCATTTTAAAGTAATAATGTACTGATATCAAATTTACATTATATGTTATTGCCTTGAAAATTTGGTACAATTTATAACGAAATGTAGTCAATTTTAAAGGATGAAGACTAGTTTTTATTTTTATAGTATCTTTTTCTTTCATTAAGTGTAATAAGATAGAAACATATGACATAGAACACTTGGACACAATTTTTGTATATTTTAGGTAAATAAAACCAGAAGAGCTGTTATAAATTTAATTCTAAGGATTGCTGAAGATAATTTCAAAGACACCATTATATATAACTTTAATTTAGAATGTAAAAACAATCTTCATAGTATGTAATTAATGAAGTATCTTGAGTAATTGATAAAGCATACAAAATAACATACCTGTGAAGAATTATGCGTTCAACAATTTTTTCTGTTGTCATGTCATTGCCACTATCCAACAATTTAAATTTATTTTGTCTTTTAGGTTCAGCATATGGATCTGAATCATCTTCACAAGGCATAACAGGGGTTTGACCATGACAAACAACAGATACGTCAAAATGTTCCATAAGATTTTGAGTAACTTCATATGGTGCCCCAATTACTACTTCATTAACATACTATATATAAACCAAATAGTAAACTTTTAATATAACATATCAACTAATATTTCATCAGCCATTTAAATTATTAATTTATATCTTACCTTGCATGCCAGTACACTAAGTACTCTTTCATGAAGATTCATAATTGGATGATTACCACGTTTATACCGATTAACTACTGGATCTGTATGAAGTCCAACTATAAGATAATCACCTTCTTTCTTTGCAACCTCTAAAAAGTCTAAATGACCAACATGAAAAAGATCAAATGCTCCTGCTACATAAACTATTTTGTCTTTAGGTTGTGGACTTTTGCCATCACTAAATTGAATAATTTTTTGTGTAGTAGGTAAAAATTGTGAACAGCCTGTCCATGGACTTCGAGCTGTTCTATCTTGACCCATACTTTTACTAGGTTCTCTATCGACACTATATTCACTATCTCCTTGTTTAAAATGTTGTCTTGTCATTAAAAGCATACGTCCTACTAAATCAGTTGTTGATATTCCAGCTGTTCTTTGAACTTCTCTGTAATAATTATATTTTGATATATTATGTTTAATTTGAATTATTATTATTGAAAATTTCTTATATTATTTTATTATCTTATATATACCTGTAACGACCTGCTGCTTTAACCAAATGATACGTGTCTATACCATTTGCTGTCATAGTGATATCATCACCATGAACACAAAAATCACAATTGTATTTGTCTAATGTTTCTATAGTCGTAACATAAGGAGCTCCTTCAACTACTTCATCTACCCACTTAATACCACGAACCATTTTATATCTGACACAAATAGATTATACAATATATATTATAATATATTATTATGTCAACATTACTTAATAAAAGATTCATTATTTTTCATTCTTATTTATGCATAATTAATAAAAAATATTATAATATTATAATATATGTAATACTATAATAGTATTATTATAATATTACTATTTGTACATAATTAATAAAAATATTATAATAACATATATGTGCTACCATAATATTATTATAACATTATTTAAAATTCAAAATGATTTGATTGTTTATTGTAAAAAAATCATACCTTTCTTTTTCCATAAATACTGGTGGCCCTTTATGTTTAGTAATTTCTTCATCTGTATGTACACCTACAACTAAATAATCACCCAATGCTTTTGCTTGACGTAAAGAATTCGCGTGGCCAAAATGTACCATGTCATAACTGTGTTAAAAAAAATACCTGTATATTTACAACGAATTGGGCTGGTGGGAAGTTTAAATGTATTTGTTTGATAGTGAAGTTCGCATCATTAATTGTTTAACATAGAAAAAATTTACCGAATTGTTCCACGCGTAAAAAAAGAAAAAAATGAAAGAAGCAAATATTACATTGTACTATCACATACATGAACTATTCAGAATTACAACCATAATCTACATTACACGTATACGTATGATTATGTCACCCATATCAGAACTTTAATAATCGGTAGTCTATTATCAAAAAATCATAGTCATACTCCAATTTAGAACAATAAACATAAAGTTTAAAATAATTAAAAGATAGGATTTTTTTAATAGAAACTTACCATCCATCACACCATACTCTTACTTCTTTACGTTTTTCTGTCATAATGAAAAAGTCTTTTTTATTCAATAAATAAATGCCAATACGACGAAACGCTCTACGTCAAATCTTGGAGTGTACTGCGCGTGTCGTCAAATCACACGTCATACACTTTTCATTAACTACATCCCCACTTTCTTCGTCCACACTTGTATATACTTTGTAATTTTTTAATATTTAACAGGAAAGATTCAGTAATTAAAATCGGTTAGAAGAATTAAAAAAAAAAAAAGAAAAAAATGGTTTATAATATTGGAAATATAATATTCGAATGATGTTCATGTATTAAATATACAAAGTAATTTACAATCTTAGTTACTATTATGGATTATTGTATGTTACAAACATTTAAGTACTTCCTTTAATTTCATAAAAAAATTTACTTTCATTCATCAGATATAAATTTTATAAATTATATATTTTGAAATAGATGTATGTAATTCTCCACTTCTAAAACTTGAATGTCGTAATTAACATTAAAATTACCATAGCTCAATGATTGTTTTCAAACCTGCCATTAAAAATTCTATGTTCATCATTATTACTTTTGTCACTTATTTTCATGACTTTTTAACTAATATTAAGTTTTCAATATTTATCTCTTTTTTTATTCGGATTCTTCTAAAATTTATAAATAGCCTGTTTTATCAACTGCGACCGATTATTTCACCGACCGTGATGGGTATAGTGTTAAATAAACCTGAATTATATTAAAAACAGATCAATAGCATAAGATAATATAAATTAATACAATAAAAATGGAATACTTCATTATTTATTAGATAACATTGTACAATATAAAAATATTACGACAATTTCAAATCTACAAAATTCAGTGTATTGATAAGACATTAATACTTTGTCTCTAGAATTTTGACTTAATAATCCATCAATTTATTCAGCTAACATCAAAAAATATTTTCACGCAACATCATCGAACATTAAAATATACATATTAATACATTATACGCTAAAAACTATAAAGAATAACTAATAATTGTACATGAATTTTACTATCGCAAAAGTAATCAGACAGGCACACATAATTGGCAGTCATAACTCTAGTAATATCGCAAAAATGTAACTGTACAGAATATTATTTAAAATTCAAAATGATTTGATTGTTTATTGTAAAAAAATCATACCTTTCTTTTTCCATAAATACTGGTGGCCCTTTATGTTTAGTAATTTCTTCATCTGTATGTACACCTACAACTAAATAATCACCCAATGCTTTTGCTTGACGTAAAGAATTCGCGTGGCCAAAATGTACCATGTCATAACTGTGTTAAAAAAAATACCTGTATATTTACAACGAATTGGGCTGGTGGGAAGTTTAAATGTATTTGTTTGATAGTGAAGTTCGCATCATTAATTGTTTAACATAGAAAAAATTTACCGAATTGTTCCACGCGTAAAAAAAGAAAAAAATGAAAGAAGCAAATATTACATTGTACTATCACATACATGAACTATTCAGAATTACAACCATAATCTACATTACACGTATACGTATGATTATGTCACCCATATCAGAACTTTAATAATCGGTAGTCTATTATCAAAAAATCATAGTCATACTCCAATTTAGAACAATAAACATAAAGTTTAAAATAATTAAAAGATAGGATTTTTTTAATAGAAACTTACCATCCATCACACCATACTCTTACTTCTTTACGTTTTTCTGTCATAATGAAAAAGTCTTTTTTATTCAATAAATAAATGCCAATACGACGAAACGCTCTACGTCAAATCTTGGAGTGTACTGCGCGTGTCGTCAAATCACACGTCATACACTTTTCATTAACTACATCCCCACTTTCTTCGTCCACACTTGTATATACTTTGTAATTTTTTAATATTTAACAGGAAAGATTCAGTAATTAAAATCGGTTAGAAGAATTAAAAAAAAAAAAAGAAAAAAATGGTTTATAATATTGGAAATATAATATTCGAATGATGTTCATGTATTAAATATACAAAGTAATTTACAATCTTAGTTACTATTATGGATTATTGTATGTTACAAACATTTAAGTACTTCCTTTAATTTCATAAAAAAATTTACTTTCATTCATCAGATATAAATTTTATAAATTATATATTTTGAAATAGATGTATGTAATTCTCCACTTCTAAAACTTGAATGTCGTAATTAACATTAAAATTACCATAGCTCAATGATTGTTTTCAAACCTGCCATTAAAAATTCTATGTTCATCATTATTACTTTTGTCACTTATTTTCATGACTTTTTAACTAATATTAAGTTTTCAATATTTATCTCTTTTTTTATTCGGATTCTTCTAAAATTTATAAATAGCCTGTTTTATCAACTGCGACCGATTATTTCACCGACCGTGATGGGTATAGTGTTAAATAAACCTGAATTATATTAAAAACAGATCAATAGCATAAGATAATATAAATTAATACAATAAAAATGGAATACTTCATTATTTATTAGATAACATTGTACAATATAAAAATATTACGACAATTTCAAATCTACAAAATTCAGTGTATTGATAAGACATTAATACTTTGTCTCTAGAATTTTGACTTAATAATCCATCAATTTATTCAGCTAACATCAAAAAATATTTTCACGCAACATCATCGAACATTAAAATATACATATTAATACATTATACGCTAAAAACTATAAAGAATAACTAATAATTGTACATGAATTTTACTATCGCAAAAGTAATCAGACAGGCACACATAATTGGCAGTCATAACTCTAGTAATATCGCAAAAATGTAACTGTACAGAATATTATGTTGGAATGAATCAACAAACTTTGATATGACCAGATGACTTTTGATAAATGCCTCAGCCAATGAATAAAAGATTTTTCCATGTGAATTTCAGTGAAGCATAACACTGATTACTTATAACGACATATATTATCGTAAAATATTTTATGAACGATAGTGTTAAACAATGAAGATTCTAAATAATTACATAATAGAAATGTTCTTTTAGTAGATAGAAGCTTTAGTTTATTACTTTTCTAACAAAATTTATGTGTAGAACAAGGTAAGGTGATTATAATAATGTCCCAAAACAATATGATTTCTTAATTCAATAAAAAATGTAATGTATGTAATTTACTTTCCAAAAAAGGAAAGTAAACTATAATAATAAAATTTTGTATCGAATTATTCAGATTTTATACTTCTATTATTTTTATTAAATTTATAATACTATAATGCACAGGGTTTTATATTCCCTTAAACATAATGCAGTACAATGCACTGTACGTATGAAATAATACAAATGATTCGTGCATTTACGACTTGTGCCAGCACTTCTAAAAGAATCGTATTTCTGTTAACTACATAACTTTCACGGTCATTGTAGATTAGGTATACTGCTTTAAAATCAATATTTTTCATTTTTGTTTATTAAAACTTATTCATTTTATGAAATATTATTTTATTACTTTCTGTTAAATGTCATATTGTATTTTTCTTTAATGTACATAAAGATCATTTAAAAGAATTAAACATTAAATTACAATACAAGAATACGGTCGTATTTGCAGGAATCACGACTTAAAGTAGTCACCAGTAATATTTTATCTACTATTACATTTACATGTACATTCCTTTTTCTTCTTATTATAAAGCAGAATGCTCATGAATGTCCTTGAATTGTTATAACCTAAACCTGCTAATACATTCAATCATGCTGTTTTAATCAATAATAATTCACGTGCATTTTACTCTAATTTATATTTAGTGAGCAGCACGTAAATAAAAAAAAAAGTTCTGTTCCGATAGAACATCTTTTTGTCTGTTTCTTTTTTTTTTTTTTTTTTTTTAACTATATTACATAAAACTTTTGCTTAGAATTATTCATTTTGAAATTAATAACCATTTTGTTGTCTATAATTACTACCACTACCACCATCTCCCCCACTTCCTCCATATCCACCATTTTGACTATAGCCGCTGGAGCCACCACCAGAGCCTCCGCCATAATTGTTTTGAGAAAATGCTTTACTATTGTAACTACCTCCTCCCATACCACCTAAACAAACAGATTATTTAACAGTATATACAAAGAAAGTAAAATAAAAGGAAGTAAATAAAGTCCTTACAACTTTTGTTTGAAGTCATACTGCTATTATTGCCATTCCATTTATTTCCCCGGTCTCCACCGCCATTAGAACGATCAAATCTGCCACCTCTATCTCCATCACGGCCGCCTCGTGAACCTCGAGAACCACCACCACGACCTCCAGAACCACGCCCATTACCTCCTCCGCTACGACCCCCATAACGACCTCCTAAAACAATAATATAACGCAAAACGTAGTAGCGTTAAATACAAAAATAAATTAATTAAAATAAATAAGAATAAAAGCCTACTTTTATAAATGCCTGGATTCCTCGACAATTCATATAATTTGGGATTTACAACTTGCTTTGCTTCTTCTAAAACTTGAATTAAGTCACTAGCCTTGTGTGCATTACCAGGAGTGAAAAATGCGTACGCAGTTCCTGTACGCTGTGAACGTCCTGTACGTCCGATCCGGTGTACATAGTCTTCTGAATTGGACGGGTAATCCAAATTTATCACAAACTTAACATCTTCCACATCTATATAACAATAAAAATTATAATCATCGAAAATGAAGATTACTTATGTCTTTGTGGTTCAATTATCTTACAAAGCGAATTAATTAAAGCATTAATAGACAATATGTGCAATATAAATGGAATTAAATAGAACTTATTTATCGAAAAATTAAAAATATGTATTTATCACTAATAACTTAAAGTCTTAATTCCATTTATAATTTTCACATGAAATACACAAATGAGTTGACCACAAAGAGCAAATTTTTATATTATTTACCTGTGGTTGTCAAAAGCTGGAAACGTAAATACATTTTTGGAAATGTAGAGGAATCAGAGCTCAGATGGTTCTCATGGAATTCTCACTTTATGCGTTAGCGAGCTGTATATTTACTCTTAGTAACTCCACACCCTTCTCTCCCGCACCAAAGTATGGATCTGTGCTGGTCTTTCAAAATTTGGTCCTTGCGTATTGCTTCCGTGAGGTTGGAACATTGGATGAGCACCATGTGCATTCTCCGATCAACCCCACATGCATTCCATTGTATGAGTAACATCACATTTATTTTGCAATGTTGGAAGTTCACAAACTTTTTTTTACAAGATTTTATAAATATAATTATATATACTAATGCATATTTTTAATAAATTATAAATCAGATATATGTTATAGAAATATACATTAATTTAATTTAGTGAAGAATGTAATTTCACAAACATTGCAAAACAAAGTAATGCTATTTCCTATCCTTCTAATCTAAGAACATAAGTGGTAAAACATCTATCCTGTTCGGTAGTCCTTGTATGCTAGATTCCCTAACTCTATGACTTCCATACTTTGGACCGTCGCAGGTACAGAGTGAGAGTGTGTTTTTTCAAGTGGCACGGTGAGCCGAGGCACAGCGTTAGGTTAGCTTGTTGCACGGGGATAGACCAGCAGTCACGCCCCATTCAATTATATATTCCAAAGCAAGCTCTCCAGAGTTCTTATCATTGATAAAACTCCGTCGCATGTGCCTCTGAAAACACATAGAACAGCACGTTAATACCAGACTGACAAGACTTTTTTCAATCAGAGCAAAATTTAAAGACATGAACCTTCTATCGCCTTACCTGCTTACCTAATCTTCTAATTTTACAGCTGAAATATTTTGACTTGCTTTTGATCCTAATATTAATACTAATAATATAATACTATAGTAGACAACCTTATTAAGGACTAATGTTTAAAATTAATAATAATAAATTCATTCAGTAAAACATAACATTTCATCAAATAAATATTTTACTATACTGTATTATTATTATTATTATTATAGATAAAAAGTATGTCAAAATCCACCTGATTTATGATAAAATTAAAATTACAAAATACTTTTTTAATATTATTGCGCTGAAAAGATGAGAATAATAGCATTAACTTTTTCTTTATATGATTTTATAATACATCATTGAATTTCCTAAATAATGAGTTAATGGAAATCAATTAAAATATCCTAAACAAAATAATAAATAAAAATACTTGAATTACTGATCATGTTATCAATTACTGAGTGTTCTGAAACCTTTGAATTTTTGAAACAATTTCCATTCACACCAAGAAAGGACTAATGTCAATCAGTCTGGCACATGCCGTTATCCGTTGCCACATCACAATTATACAACTCTCACAAATGTGAAATAACCATCGCAGCCTGACCCTTACATCATACCCACTCATGTGTAAACAGATTCTTACCTAATCCTCTTGCTGCAACATCTGTAGCTACTAGAATGGCAGATCGGCTATTCCGGAACTCTAAAATAAATTCTCTAGTATTGAACAAAATATGTTTATATATTATTTATAAGGAGAATTTTTAACACTTACGATTTAATACATAATCTCTTTCTTGCTGACTTTTATCCCCATGAATGCCAATTGCTTGCCACCCATACCTATTAATTGCACGTGTTATATCATCTACTTTCCTCTTAGTTTCAACAAAAATGATTGTTTTATTTTCTGGTTCATTTGATATTTCTTCTAAAAGTTTCATAAGTTTACCCTCTTTTTCATATTCTTCACATACATCGACAATTTGAAGGATATTATGGTTAGCAGCTAATTGTAAAGAACCAATGTTAATTTGTATGTAGTCAGTTAAAAATTCTTCTGCAAGATTGCGAACTTCCTTTGGCCATGTTGCTGACCACATAAGAGTCTGTCGGTCAGGTCGAATTTGTTCTACAATTTTTCTAATTTGTGGCTCAAAGCCCATGTCAAGCATTCTGTCAGCCTCATCAAGTACTAAATATGTGCATCTACGCAAATTTGTTGTACCACGTTCTAAAAAGTCAATGAGACGTCCAGGTGTTGCTATACAAATTTCAACCCCCCGTTCAAGATCACGAGCTTGAGGACCTTTCGGAGCTCCACCAAAAATACATGTATTTCTTACTTGTGATGAAACACCAAAATCTGATGCAACTTGTTGAATTTGCTGTGCAAGTTCTCTTGTTGGTGCTAGAATTAGAGCTATAGGTCCATCATTTCTGTTTAATCGTGGTTGATGATTTATGTGTACAATTGCTGGTAAAATATATGCTAATGTTTTTCCAGATCCAGTCTGTGCAATTCCAACCATGTCACGGCCAGATAAAGCAATAGGCCAACCTTGCGCTTGAATTGCAGTTGGTTCTCCAAAACCTTGTCTATGAATTTCATTTAAAACATAATCTGGAAATCCACCTTCTTCAAAATATATATTTGGTCCTGGCACATTTGTTCCCTTCACAGTAATTTCTTTATCTGAGCGATAACCTTCAACTACATGTGAATTTCGAGTTGTAACATTAGGATGAGGCTGATAGAAATCTTTTCTAAATGGCTGCAATGTGCTCATATCCCATCTTGGTTTCCTGAGTCGTTCCCCAGGCTGTCGGTTTTTAAAATTATTGTTTCCAAAATTACTATCTCTATTAGAATTACTGCCAAATCTTCCACCACTACTACTTCCATCACGGCTATTAAAACGACCTCCTCCACGTGCTCCTCCTCCTCTTCTGTCACTACGTTCACGGTCACGGTATGCCCTTTAATATAAAATATCTTTTAAATACCAACTAAACTGCAATATGATAAATGATTTATATATATGTAATGATTTAATTGGATGGAAGGAACTAAATTACTACAGAAAAAATACTTTATTTTCTAATCTATCATATCATTATTTATAATACAAATATATTTAATATTATTTAAAATATTTTAAAAATTCAATTTCAATAATATATATTAACACGTGCAATTAATTCACATAATTATAATTATAAAATAAATATATTTCACATGTATATAAAAAAAAATGCTAATATTAAAAATCACTTTGAATATATTATTTGCTATAAATAAGGATAGAAATCTTTTATGCACTATGACTGTAAAAATTTCGTCAATATCAGAACAATATGGAGTAAAGCAGTGTATCGTAGACAGCAAACGTCAATACAAAATTTACAGAAAATTTGTATTTTTGCGTAATATTAATAGAAATATCATTTAACTTACATTTTCATAAAGATATGTATTATTTTAGATTGCAGATTACGATGATTTTCTTCTATAAAAACGTATACCAATGACCAAACTCAACAATAAGTACGTTCTACCCGTTATAAGTTTCGAAGAGGATCTGTGAAACAAATATCATGGCGTCGTATTATACCAGAAAATAGTTCCATTTTACTTCCAATTTTATTATTTTACAAATATTGTTATCTTTACTATTTAGGTTTACTTTAATTTTATATAAAAAATATTAATCATTTGCTTTAAATATTAAAATTTATGTAATAACAATAAATATTTTATAAAACTTAATGTACAGAATACCGGAAGCTATAGTATCAAGTAGGGGAAAATGCGTTAAAATAAAATACCAGATTAATAAGTAAACTGTCAATTTCTTAATGCTGTTTTTATAGTTTATAGGTAAGAAAATTTCAACCAATTTTGTAATAAGAAACAATTTTAATAATACAATTTGTTATTCTACTCAAAAGTATAAGAAAATTTAGTTATAATCGTTTAATGCAAATTTTAGTACTTATATAACTTGTTTAGTATATTCGTATAATGAAATATATTATAAATATAAATAAATTTAATTTATTTTATATTAACCAAGTCAAGAGTTATCATAATAGATATAAATTAATATTGGAACTTATTTAATCAAATTTTATAACAAATAAATAACATATAATATAAATATAAAATAAAATATATATAAATAAATAATATCAAATAATATATAAAAATAATACATACATATAGGTGAAAAATACTAATTTTTATGTAATTATACTTAACAGATATTATAAAAATTATTTAACATTATGTATAATACTTATAACATAAGATATGCTAAATTTAAACATTTTTTTAAATTAAGATATTCTTTACTACAATATAAGATACCAAATTATATAATAAAATATTGTAAATTATATAATAAAAACACACCATATTTGTTATTCTTAATTGTTTTTTTAATATTTTTTTGTATAGTGAAACCTAAATTTTAACTTTTATAATAATACATATATATTTAACAAATTTTATTTTGACCATTATATTAATTTTTTTTTTTAATCATGTACATGAAATACGACATATATTATTTTTGATTCTATTTTATATTTTGTATATTTTTTATAACTTTATATTATCTTATATTTAACACAAATTTAACTAAGTTTACTGTTATTAACATACTTCTGATAGTAAAATTTTTTTTCAATATGATAAATATATTCTTAATATGTTGTTCCTCTATACTGATAAGTATTTCCATAATTATCTCCTCCTCCATAACTTTGTGCTAAATTACTTTGCCCATAAGTTCTTTGTGTATACCCATACCCTGTATTCTGATTAGTTGAATTACTTTGTTTCATATTATTATAACTACTATAATCTGAACTTGAATAACTGTTTGAAGTAGACTGATAAGAATTTCCACCACGACCATTAGTGCCACCTCTTCCTCTTGTAGAACCACCTCGTCCTCTAGTATCAGTATTACCTCTTCTTGCATTACTTCTATCATTAGTCATAAATCGTTTACCACCTTTCGAAAGAAAAATAAATGAATTATGAAATTTATTTAAGTATTAAGTCAAAATAATTTAAGTACACACTTCTATTTCCATAAGTTCCTGATTTTGCTAACTCTGCCATTTCAGTAAGTCGTGGATTTATATTTTGACCTGCTTCTCTTAATACTTCTATTAAATCTCCTGCATGTTTCATATTATGGCTTGTAAAGAATGCATAAGCAGTGCCAGTTTGTCTTCTTCGTCCAGTACGACCAATTCTATGTATGTAATCTTCTGACGATGATGGGTAATCAAAGTTTATCACATATTTAACATCATCTACATCTGTGACAAAGTATTTGCAAAAATATAAAAACTCTATTATTTACAATTATATGTATATTGTTTATAATAACCATCACCCCATTTGTTGATTGTGTCAAGTTCACAGAATGATCTTCAAACTTGCAAAAGTAATGCAATGCTTAAGATTAAATATATAAATATATAAAGTGGTTTTGAATATATCAAATTATCATATATCATACACTTCTTAGAAATTTTTAACTTCTATTCAAATGAAACAAAATCCCCTGATTTTTACTTAAATATAAAATTTGTCTATAAGTCAGGTTTGAAAACCACCCACCTTTTAGTTGGAAATTCCATTTCAAAATCAGCAAAAACAGCCCCATTTACTTTTAAATGTAGAGTTATTCAGTTGGTTTCATAATGTATGATGGCCTAGAGATTAGACAGACACAGCGGTGGTGTCTGGTTTGGGATAAAGGCAGCATTTTAGGGTTTAAGCCTGAATGCATTAACCTTTTTAGATCTTAAGGAACAATTTTAACAATTAGAGGCACTAGAAAACACTTGAGAATTGTTTGACGTGGTATAATGGCAAATGAATAGACAAATATAAATAATGAGCTTGATATATACTGTACAATACATTACACAATAAAACAGAATAATTTTTAAATTTGTGATTACTTTACAATTATTTTATTATAAATATTTTGAAAGTAATCAACATTATTATATTATAAAATTAAAATCTATATTAATTTCTTAAATTTTATATTAAAACCATATTTGCAAAAATATATAATGCTATATAAAAATTTTTAATTTGGAAACGTATTTTTTAAATATTTTAATATAATCATCGATATAATACAAGCAAAGAAAAATAAAACATTCACTGTGTCTGCCCAATACTGGCAGTACACCGCGTTCACTTAGGGTACTCTGTGCCTCTGAAAAAGAAAAGCAGACAGTCTTAGTGGTAGCTTGTGTGCATTTCTTTAGAACCCTTTATATAAATTTTATTATTGAAATTCGTGATAAAAAATACATTTATTTACATATTATAATCTTATATATCTTATTAATGATAAAGAAATACAAACCTGTTTAAAATATGTAATATCAAAAAATATAAAAATAAAGCAAAACTAGAGTTTAATTTATGTAAATTGTCAGGGCTCTGCTATACAAAAAATTTTAATGAATCACACATTGCTACATACATAGCTGTCCACTGGTCTTATTAATAACGCATCACTGGCTAATCCAATAAGTGTTGCCAATTCCCATATTCACCCGATTCTTGAATGTTTAAGTACTGTAAGTTCAAAGATACTACATACCTAAGCCTCTAGCAGCTACATCTGTTGCAACTAAAATAGGGGCTCTTCCACTTTTAAATTCTTGTAATACATGATCTCTTTCTTGTTGATTTTTATCACCATGGATACTTAATGCTTGCCATCCATCTCGTCTGATATTTCTTGTAATATCATCTACTTTTCGTTTTGTTTCAACAAAAATAATTGTTTTATTTTCTTTTTCATTTCCAATTTCTTGAAGTAATCTATATAATTTTAAGTCTTTTTCGAATTCTTGACAAACATCCACAATTTGAATAATGTTATGGTTGGCTGATAAAGTCAGAGAACCAATATTAAGATGCATATAATCAGATAAAAAATCTTCAGCTAATGCTCGAACTTCTTTAGGCCATGTAGCTGACCACATTAAAACTTGTCTATCAGGTCGAATTTGTTCAATTATTTTTCTTATCTGAGGTTCAAAACCCATATCTAACATTCTATCTGCTTCGTCTAATACTAAATAAGTGCATCTAAAATCATATACATTAATATTATAAATTTTAAAAATATTTTAACTTTAATAAAAAATCACGATTATACCTGCGCAAATTCGTAGTTCCTCTTTCTAAGAAGTCAATGAGTCTACCTGGTGTAGCAATACATATTTCAACACCTCGTTCTAAATCATGTGCCTGTGGACCTTTGGGTGCTCCACCAAAGATACATGTATTTCTTACACCTGCAGATTCTCCAAAACAATTAGCTACTTCTTGAATTTGTTGAGCTAATTCCCTTGTAGGAGCTAAGATTAAAGCAATTGGACCATCTCCATTACTAAGACGTGGTTGGTGTATGATATGTACAATTGCTGGTAAAACATACTGAAACAAAAGTATATATTAATATAAATACTATCAAAAATTACTAATTAATATTAACTTATTAAAACCTAATTTTCAACAAAATTAAAAATTGATGCTTTACTCCTAGTGTCTTTCCAGAACCAGTTTGAGCAATAGCAACTAGATCTCTGCCACTAAGTGCAATAGGCCATCCTTGAGCTTGAATTGCTGTAGGTTGAGAGTATCCTTGTTTACGTATTTCTTCTAATACATAAGGTGGAAAATTTCCCTCTTCAAAATATTGTATAGGATTTGGTATATTATCACCTTTTATAGTTATTTCTGCATTTTCTCGAAACTGACAAACTTCTTCCTTTGATCTAACATGTAATATTTTGTATAAAAATTTACATTTTAATTAAAAAAGATAAGGAAAAGAAAAGAACAAAAGACTGTTACCTGCTTCTAACTGTAGGATGTTCAATATAAAAATCTTTGCGTAAAGGTTCTAAAGATCTTACATCCCAATTAATTTTCCTAAGGGCTCCACCAGGTTGTTTGTTTTTTATAATACCTCTAATATTATTAGTAGTACCTCTACCACGTATACCAAACCTACTAATACTAGTTCCACGGATATTATCACCACCTCCTCTATTACTACCTCTACCACCACCACCTCTGCGGCCTCTATTGTGGTCTCTATCTCGATTAAACCTGAATATATATAATACATCATGTAACATAATTATATATATAAATTACTTTAATTTATAATTAGTATCTCATTCTTACATTTATAAAGTATGAATTTATACAATAATATTTTATATGTATACAATATGTATATAATAATATGTATATATACAATAGTATATACAATAATATGTTATATAAAGTTAATATTTATTATAATAATTACATTTTTTTAATGATATACTTATTTATTTAAAGAAAAAAATGTATATTTATATAAAAATGGGATACTTTCTTTATAATTTATTTATTAGAATAATATAAAAATTATTTTTTTACTTTATCCTGTTATAAAACTATCTGTTGTAACTATATGATAGAATAAAGAATATATAAAAATTTGTTAAAATATATAATCATTCTTTGTTATCATAAATTTTGATTATTGATTACCATTAGCCGCAGTACGAATCAGCGCTACTTAGTAACTACGATAAAATAAATATTTGAATACTTTAACTCTAAAATATACGCAAGAAAAATTGGATACAACCGTTTATTAGGTAAATTTTAATTATATTGTCACATCATACTTACATTTGGAAATTGGAATATCTTCAAATATAACGAGCAACAGATTATTCTGCTTTGCAGTCACTTTCGCAAACGCCAATCGATAATTTAGTAGAAGCGAATATTAAGAACAGTCAATAATCCTATCTGAAAAGTTGTATTAAATTTAATACAAGCTATAACTTTCTTCTGATGTGAAAAATACAATTTATATCTCACGAATAAAATATAATCGTTATCTTTAAACTTGCCGGTAAATCCGGCAGATCAAATTGACAAGTGAACTTCCGAAAGTAGTTCCATATAAACTGTTTCCATGACAGCATTCGCGTAGTAATACATAGAAAATGAATAAACTAAAACAAAAAATACAAAATAGATTAGAATACTTACGATTAGAAGAAATATTATTAAGAATAAAATTAATAAAAGTAGATTTTTTATTGCAAAATCTATATTTTATTTAAAAATTGTATGACATTTATTGAATAAGTTAAATATAATTTTTAGCCTACTATACGTATAAATAATAACTGAATTTGGTTTTTGATCGTAATTATGTGCCTTTGATAACATATAAAATTAAATAAGGTTTTAACTTTAGAAAAATTACTAGAAAATAATAAATAAGAGGAAGTAACATTGTTAAAGTTGAATGTGCCGCGTCTTTATTGATTAGCGTATTCTAAGAAGATGACGCTACAGCTCAGGTTCATAATACTTTATGTTACTTATTGACTTCATCTTTACGATTTTCAGTATAATCGTAAACATAGTTTGATGATATTTAACATTTTTTTAAATTTAGGATGTCATCTGAAACACCACATGTAATTTTATATATTTATATACATATAACTAAGAAATTATATATAGAAATGAAAACTTGACTGAATTTATGTTATAAATTGCATTACCCAAACTTAACCTGTCATAATTTATAATCATTTAGATTCATTACGTTTTTAATTTCTATCTTATTTTCCAAATTTTAAGTAAAACATAGAATTTATATTTTGAAATATATTAAATATGAAATATTTATTTTAGATCTCAGACACGCTTAGGATTCTTCACTTACCACTAGAACTTTCTGATGAACGACGTAATGAATTATTTAAAAAATATGGTGCAATTAGAACTCGAACTTTAAGACCTTCTAGAAAGTATACTATAACTTTTGCAAAATTCCAATCTCAAGAAGCAGCTACAGAAGCATTATTACGTTTGCATCAATTAAATGTTAAAGGACAATATTTAACAGTTGAATTTGCTAGAAAGACTATATCAACAGAAAAAGTAGAAAATTATAGTGATAATGATATACATACAAAAGAGGAAAATAAGAAGGAATCTACAAATAGGTCTAATTTTCAAGCATTTTTACAAAAGCTAAACAGTTGGACTATGAATCAAGTCTTTACTCAACCACCTCCACCAAATATACAATATAAATATTCAACACCAACAAAAGGCACTTTAATAAGAATAGCAATACAATTATTAAAAGAACCATCTTTCTATACACAGGTAAATTAATTAAATTATAGTTTAATATAGTACATTCTTTATTTATGTATCTTATGCCCAAATAGGTTTTACACTTGATGAATAGAATGAATTTACCACCTCCTTTTGAAGAATTAGAAGCAGAATTTCCAGCACTTAAGGAAGTTTATGATATAGAAAAATATAAGGATATATTTATAAAAGAAAGTTTATATCTTAAAGAAAATGAAGGTTATAAACATATAATTTTTTTCTACTTTTATTTCTAAATTTTATATATACATACTAAATATATGATATTTATTAGATATTTGCAATGAGGGAACAGAGGAAGAGGAATCTGAAATAGAATCAAATGAAGAAGATAATACAAAATCTATGGAAATAATACCTATAAAAAGAAAACGTCCACAGCATACAAAACGTTTGAAAATTCCAAAATTCATTAATCCTAATAAACAAATAACAGCTTCAAGTTCTACACAAAAGGTTGTAAAAGCAGCTGATATGTTTGAACCAATACAACGCGGTGAAACAAAAAATCTTAAAATTGAATTGAAAATAGTGGATAAATTGTTAGATACTACAAATGAAGATGAAAATATGGGTTCTAAAAGTGCTACAGATGGTGGCTTTGGATTAATGTTCCCAGTTTCTAAAACTCTTGATACCGTTGAAAGTAACGAAAGTATTAAAAATGTTCAACAAGAAGTAATTACGTCTAATGAATTAGCAAATAACAGAATTTCAACTAATGGTAAAAATAATTTATTCTTTAATATTTAGTTATTTTATTTGATTAATAAATAAAATATTACATTCCATTACATATAAAAGAAAAATATTTGAGAAATATGTAAAATAAATTTTTTTTTTATATACGTTATAGATCAGAGATTGTTACCTGTTTTTAAAAATTATCATCCTGGCAAGCCATCAAGTCGCTTATACATAAAAAATCTTGCAAAACAAGTTGAAGAAAAGGATCTCCATTTTATTTATAAAAAATATGTGGTGCCTGAGTTAAAAACAGAGTTAGAGTAAATATTTTCAATTAAGAAGCAATGTATTTGTAAAATAATTATATGATAATTTATTTAATAATAATTCATTCTATTTAGGTATGATATACGGCTTATGCAAGAAGGTAGAATGAAGGGGCAAGCATTTATCACATTGCAGAATATTGAACAAGCACAACTAGCTCTTGATGAAACAAATGGTTTCATTTTAAAAGATAAACCTATGGTTGTACAGTTCGCTAAAGTAACAAAAAGTTAACAAAAACAATATTTTTAAAAATATATGTATTATATTATTTATAACCATTACTAATTTTAATAAAGAAAAGTCTTTTATACTTCTTAATAATTGTATGTCATATATTATATTATAATACTTCATTCGAAATAAGATAAAGTTATTTATTTGTGATGCATGATATATTTACATCTTAGGAAACTAATCGCATGTACTTGTAACGTGGATCTTAGGATCGATGCGGCGAAATGATAAAGTTCAGTACTTTTCAAAGAAAAGAATAAAATATTTATATAGTAAGTAGTCTTTCGCTATCGATAAATTATAATTTCTTACTTAATAATATTTATGTATATTAATGTTTACAAATATATCATTTTAATTTATATAGAAACTTTTGTGAACATATAAAATAAAAACTCGCTTGAACTATTTAGTGGCATGTCACAGCCGCGTCAGCGGAGATCGGCGCCCGCCTGGCAGCCAGTAATTCGAAAACTTTCCACTAGAGTGCTATGTTTTGAGTTGTTCAATCTGTATCGTGTGCGTTAAGCGTTTGGTTCACCGATCATCGTCGAGTTGTAGCCGTATGTGCTGTCGCCGTCACTCTATTGCCGTCCCTCATTTCCGTCGTCGGTCTCGCACACGTTGACACGTCCCTTGTATTGCCATGGACGTCGGCTTGTTACTTCAGCACTCACAATATGCATTACCTGTGGGTATCGTGCTTATATGTGCAATTCTCGTCTTTGCCTTTGGTTTCAAGAAGGCCGAACAACCACCTTTTGCACAGCTTTCTGTAGGCTCCGACGTGGACCGGAAATTTGCAAACAAAAAACGCAGTAAAATCAAAGAAAAGGTTAGCACGACACAAGTAAGCTACTCAAACATTACATACTTCTTTTTTTTCGAATCAACTGGCGATATAAATGCGATAATCTATATTATCCACCCTCCATATGGTTGCTTATTTGTGCGAGTAAATGTACATACATACACACATGGTTGATAATCAGCTGGTATCAGTACTTAAAAAGACTTATTTACTGTTGTATTTCTGGACACAGAAAGTAATTTAATTATATGTTTAAAGTCAGTACTATTCTTTCTTTTTCACAGTTTTTCGTTAATTTTTTTATTTATTACATTATAGTATATATATATGTTTATAAATTTTTAAAAATTTTATAAGATTGCAAATAAAAAGCAAAAATTATTTTAATTTCATAAAATTTTTGTCAATATTCTAAATTTATTGAAACAATTTATGTATATTTTAGAAGTCTGCTAATGGCCAAATTGCAACTGAAAAAGCAAGTCCTACTAAAAAAAGTGTATCAACAAAAATAGATGCTTCGAAAAAAGCTGCATCTAAGACAGACGATATCGAAGGAAAGTTGAAGGAACGAAAACAAGAAGAAAATAAAATTTCTGTAACAAAGAAAGATAAAGATCAGGTTATATTGAAAGATGGAAAAGAAAACAAAATTGAACAAGTAAAGAACAAGAAAACTTGGAGGGATTTATTCCAAGAAAAACCAGTTGATTTTGATGAAGGTAAGATCCTATTTAACTTTTCTGAAGTATTTTTTAATACTATTTTAAACTAACATTAATTTTAAATTTAGGAGATTGGGAACAAGCATATTCCAGAAAAGATAAAAAAAATAAGAAAAAAGAGGAAGAATCTCCATCAAAAAAGAACAAAAAAAGTACTAAGAAGGTTGATTTAATCAATGAAGAAGTAACTAAATCAAAAGTGTCAGAAAAAGTAGAAATTAAAGATAAAATTGCTAAGGAAACAGAAAATAAAGAATTGAAAGAAAAAGATAAAAAAGATGTGATACTTACGCCTATTTCCAATGAGTTAATAAACAAGGAAAAAGAACATCAAAAGGAAGAACAAACTAAGGTAATTTTGAAATCTTCTTTCATTTATTTCAAGCTTATATATTATTAATATATCGTGTTGTAATGATTAATATGATCTTTTTATTTAAGAATGAAAAAGTAGAAAAAGACGAGAAAAAAAGTGGAAAATCAAAAAAGAGCAAGAAGGTTTCTGAAAGTGAAAACACCCTTATAGCAACTCCACCTATACCCAAAGTAGATAATACAATTCAAGAACAAAAAACAAAAAATAAGGATGACAATACAGAAAAAGATTCAGATAATATTGAAGAAAAAAGCTCTAAAGTTATTCAAGAAAAAAGTGGCTCAGTGTTTGATGAGCTAGGAGGTAATTCTGTATATTGTAATAATTATATTTATGTATTTTTTTATGTTATAATAATTATATAAATTTTTGCACCTCAGGAGCAAAAACTTTAAATATCTTTCAAATATATTTTTTAGATACCTGGACAGAAGCCAAACCTCAAAAAAAAAGTAAAAAGAAAGCACGTAAAGATAACTGAGGGTAATTAAGTGTAATGAAAATTGTTCCTTGTGAAGAGGAATGGAGTTAAGAGTTTTGCTTGGTCCAAACGACACGTGTCATTTCGGACTTATCAGGTGTGTTTTAAGTAATTTACCAATTAACCACCTGACCAAATTGTTCCTTTCCCTTGTACATAATGCCAATTGGACTAGGTTGTTCGATCAGTTATATTTTATAGACTTCATGACTGCAGGTGCATAAATTTCTGTGTGGAGAAAAGATCATTATAAACTATTGATTTTTTCAACATACTAAATATCTGCTTTAACAAAGTTGCTTTGCATTTAGTGAAAGAGGCATAAGTTATAGTTTTCATCATCAAATAATTATATTATACATATTATTTCTTTGAGAATTTTCACATATGTCTATTATGATTCATTAGCATTGAGTGAGTTGTAGCTACATCTTAACACATATTTATGAGTTTCATATTAAGCATGCACTGTTAATAAATAGTACTTATGTCTTTTACATCTCATTCAGAAATTCTAAGAATATATTTATTAGGTTAATTTGCAACACGTTTGCATCCACGTTATTAACACTTTGAAATTGACTTTATTCATTATAATTCATTTAAATGTTATAAATGCGAACGGTTGAAAGCCAGATTTAGAAAGTATGAGATATATTCCAAAACAATAATAAAATGCAGGACAATCTCTTATGGAGAAAAGTTTGCATTACTGATGTACATGTCTTTTTCAATATACTAAGGGAAATATTTTCTTATACTTGATAATAAGTATTTATTCCAGCATATAGATCCAAGATTATATACTTTATAATAATAAAATGTATGTAATACTTTTTCATAAAAAGTACATCAGTAGTGAATTTTAAGGATTAATATGTATTTATAATATGTATTTAATATGCAAATCTGTGACAAAATTTGTGCCAAGCTGTGAAAAGAAATAAAGTTAGATATAATGAAAGTCATTGTACAATTTCATATGGCAAATTTATTAAGTAAAAGAGACAACTAAATATTTTATTTGTTTGTAGTGTATAATCATACATATTTTTATTTTCACGAGGATTTACACGTATGAACAAATATATGTAGTAATTAAAAATATAGAAGATATTTAACTCATACATAAAATCGTTCTACATAGTGTGTATTTTATTGTATTATACAATAAGAATGAAACTGTATTCTGACTTCCAAAGTATCAACTTATTATATATATATTTAAGAACAAAAGATATTGTTTTCTTTTTGCAAATGTTATCATCTTATGAAGGGAAATAGTTCTATTGATCAATAATTTAAAGGGAATGTTATTACTCAATATAATCAAACGTGGATCAAATAATTAAAGTTGTTGTGTTGGTTCTTTTTATGATTATTTTTTACGAACAATCTAATCCAGCCGTTCACATTTTATGCCATGTATAAAATATAATGAATACATTGATTATATATTAAAAGTTATCTTTTTAACTAATCTAATAACGATTATTTAATCGTTACTATTTGTATTATGTATAGTAATATTGTGTATGGAAAAGCAAGAGTTAAACTCTGTAAGAATTGTAATGTCTTGAAAAAAAAAATTAGATATTAAGGACATCTTTGAAACACATTAAATCGAGTAATATATTCAGAGTCTTTTGGCTTCTATTTTCTGAAAAAAATGAAAAGACAAAAATTCAGATCGAAAAATGGTGTTAGTCGCAGTCATCTTATCGCGAATAAATTAATATTAATTATTAGGCGAATAAATGCGTAATAATTAATACAGAAGATACATTATAATGTTATCTGCTCGAAACAATTTATTAATTAGTGTTGTATGTTAATATGTAAAGTAATAATAATTAGTGAAAAGATAAAGAAAAAATATTTAGGATGTACGGCGAATGAAATATTGTGATAAGTATATTGTATACCTGAGAGTTACATGAACGTTGTAAAATAGTACTATTAAATACTATCGTTTATAGCTTTTACTTATAAAAAGAAAATGAAAAAATATCTGTTTAAATAGCTGTTCATATTTTGTACTTTTATCCTCAATATATTCTTACAAAATATTCACTATACTTGTATATTCGTGATGTACAAGGCATTAATGATTTTAATATTTCACATGCTTTGAAAAATTTTTTGTTATAAAATATCGAAGCACAAGAGGTGGTTTCTTTATGTGAAACAATTTCCCAATGAGCTTCGATTCTATATATGATATGGAAACATGGGCCGTTAATACATAAAATCAAATGAACTATAATCGCTTGTATCGAGTGTCCCTATTGAATGTCAAAAGTATATTCTATACTTTGCGAAGGGCAACTGCTGTACAATAAGTTTTATTAATGAAAAGACATTAATAATTAGCTTACGATTATTTATAAATATATTGTTTCTATGTCCCTAATTTTATCTGTGTCAAGTACTTTGAGTTTTTATAACTTTTTAGTCTTATACATAATTATTTGAACAAGTTGATAGAGCTATTCATTTAATTATGATTGAAGCAATGAAAAACGTACTGAATATAAAAGCTGTTATATGAGCGTTATGATCAGTGTTGTAATATATAATGATTTCTTTTACTTATTCAAGTTATTATATCTTACTGCTTAATATATAAACGGCACTAAGAAAAAAATAGAGTCATGTTTTTATTACATATAAAGATGCAAACATTGTTTAAAGATTTTACGTTCTATCTATTTGAATATCTATTGATATTCAGAGTTAACGTTGAATCTATATATTTAAATGAACGATTAATTGAGCAAATTTGAATTTAATTATTTATATTGCGAAGAAAGTAATATTATTGTTCAATGCTGGTCGTAAAGGAGATTTATATTTATCAAATAATCGTTAAAGTACTTAAGTTTAATAATTGGAACAATTTGAGCAGCTGTCGAATCATGCGGTCTAGGTATTTAATATTATCATATTTTTATATGTAATATTCTTCGGGTCACTAATTCGCGTGACGACACAATGATAAAGAGACGACGTTAATTCGTTTAATGAACGTGGGAATTATGGGAATTTTTAAAGGTGTATTAATAGAAGAATATCATATTTTGAATAACATTTATATGCACTTTACTCTTATCTATCGAGTAACTAAATATCAGTGTAAATCGCTATAAAACTCGTCGCAAGATCCTAATAAGAAAAAAAATTGCACACAAAATTAAAAAATGACGATATAAGGAAATATTCCTAAAAAGAAAGAATTAAATTGAAATTTAATTATACCGATTATAATTCAAAAAGCATTGTGGCTATTGTACATGTGTATATTAATCAGCAATGTTCTCTCAAATTAAATATATATGTACAATTTTTTTGTATTCTACAGCGGTAATGGCTTGGAAAAATAGCGATTGAATAACATTGTTTGGATAAAATTGTAGTGATACATATTTCAAAAGTGTCGATCAGTGTCCAATGAAATTAATAGTACTTGAATACATATGCTTCCATTGTAATTTAATGGAGCTACTGTAGTCTCATTTAATAATTGATGTAGCGTCGACGATATTTTATTCCTATTTAGTTTAAAGAAACTGAAATATTTTTTATTATATAAAAGTCTGTTTTCATATAATCATATCTGAAATAAAAATATGGATATGGAGTAAAAAGTTTAGTGGCCTAACATTTGCTATATTATTAAACTGATAGAAATGCTTCAGGACTCTGGTCATAATTATGATATTGGATATAGCATAAATGAAACTAAGTACAGAATAGATAAATATAGAATATTATTTCATAAAACAGAAATGTCATGGTTATTTACTATGTATTTTATTCACCAAAAGTGTTGATGTAGCTATTGATATTATGATATCTATATAAATATATTTGTGTAAAATGCGTGTACTTCAGTCAGTTCAAATATTATTTTTATTATTATTATTATTATTATTATTATTATTAATATTATCATAATTATTATTGTTGTTGTTGATTGTTGTTGTTGTTGTTGATATTATTATTATCATCATTATTATTATTATCATTATCATTATTATTATTATAAATATAGCGGATGATTTAATGTTGTGATGAAAAGGCGATACAAGTGGAAGTTTCTTTAAGAATCAATAGAGAAAATATAATTTATACGAAATATTCTGTTTTCAATGGCTATATATTCTTATTTAACTTATACATCATTACGAATCTAAAGTCTTTATGAATTTTTTGGAATATAAACATCTTATAATTATAAATTTTAATTTAAAATTGAATAATTGATATAAATATGAAAATAGAATATTTCTTGTTTCACTGATTTTTGATTGTGACATTTTTGGAATAATGATATAAGTAAAAAAAGAATAGATCACAAAGTAGAGAGCGGTATAGGAGGCTAAATGAAATGAGGAATAAAAATTATATTTTTCCAACATTCAATTGCAACCATTCACTGCGCCCGTTAATTATCGTTATATTTTGTACATATTTAATTGTCATTACAGTTTTCGAATATTGTATAAGGGAAGCAGTTTATTTCACGTTTCAAGGGACCACAGAATATAAACAAATAATAAAACATACAGTATCTCATTTTTCATTTTACTTTTTCATCAAGTATTCCTTCATCTTTATTTACATCATATAAACTTGTAAAGTACCTTTTTCATTATTAATTAATTTATTACGTTTATGATTATCATATTTTGTTTTAATAATTAATATTGAAAACAATTATCTAAGTTTATGCTGACATCAAATAAATTTAAATTTCATAAATATTATCAAAATTTGTAATATTCTTCCTCTCGTTCACACTGTTTTTCGAAATCCTTTTTTCGTATATTTGCTGCATTTTCTTTTAAATGGTTTAACAGGTTTTGAACCACCTTCATTGTTCTCGACTTTACCTTTATTATTTTTTATTCCTAGATCATTAGCTATAGATTTCATTTCTTTACTTCGTATTAACAGTCTACCACTTTTCCTAGATGATCTAATTTTACTTTTAATTCGTTTCTTTCTCTTGCGCTTCTTCTTACGATCCATATTAGCTATTATTGCTTCGGTATCAGCGGATACTTTGACTTTCGGTTGTTGAGACGTAATAGTTACCCTTACAAATAAATCGTACAGAACATCGCCACAAAACTCACCAAAGCAATATTCTTCTCCACACTCACTACAAATTTTCACGCTACTTTCAATCATACCGGCACGATTTTTACTACGTCTAATAGGACTTATAACTGATCGTCTTTCTCTAGCGATTGTTTTCGCTTCCAGTTTTCCCATTTCCACCTAGAAGATAAAATTTAGTATGAATAAGTATACAGCAAAATTTGAGAAACCATAAATAATCATATTTAATTAATTAAAATGATAAGACAGATGTGATTGTTTAGTTAATACCTAATATATTTACTATAGTTACCTCGTTTTCAAATTTTCTATTTTATATAAGGCAATATCAATGATTTAATCGAAGTTAATTACAGATTTACAAAATCTAAATGAACTGCATACCAATCTAGAAAACATTTCTTCATCTTGTCGATGCTTTGGTCTGAGTGGTGTTAACATTCTCCAATCAATAGCAACCTGTTGTAATTCGTGAAGGTTTAAATCTCTCATATCTGGTGGTATTGGATTTCCATAGTTCCATTCTTTTCCAAGCGCTTTCAATTCTTTTCTAGTTGGCTTCCAGGAAAATTCTTTATCGCGTACTTTTGCATCGTCCTTTTTCACCTATTATCATAATTGTTACATAATTATAATACGATATAGTTTTTAATTTCAATATTGTGAATTTAATTCAATAATCATTTGAAATTTGTTAACTCTATATAATTGGAAACAAAGTATTGTATTATTTTTATTATTCGAACCTTCTCTGGTTTAATTTTAAATTCGGGGCAATTCTCGAAAAGTCGTCGAAATTCTTCTTGAGAATTACAAGTTGCTTTGCTCAGATCAGGTAATAAGTTTGCATCCTTCTTATCTTCTTTTAGTAGGTCGTCCAACTGGAAGGCCATTATTTACATCTGCAATCCAAGAAAAATATTCAGATCTCATTTTCCAGCATGTAAATCAGTATTCCTTTCTTATTTTATACTGTCTGTACAATCTCACTTTCTACAAAAACGAAACGAAATAAACAAAAATGTGCACAAAAACGCGATTATTTGGTTTTTGTTAAAAGATTTCTGATGCAGCAGGAGAGATTAGGCATCTCTCGGAATCCCATTCGATTTGTTTCATTAAAAGACCCTAAAAAATATACTTATTCAGATTATAAATGTAGACTAACATATTAAAATATTTTTATATAATTATGTAATACATACGTTTTTCAAAGTAGATAATTTAGACAAAATTTCTTGTCCGCACCAGGGATTAGAATTTTCACTTTGTGATTCTTTAATACTATCAGTATTATTAATGTGGGCATTGTTTAATCGAGTTTTATCATTTTGATCGCATTTACTTTCTTCAATAATAATTCTTCCATTCTTATCAGTTCGTAATGGTATAATAGAATTCAAACTATCCATTGAGAGGTCTGCATCATAGTTGTCAAGTTTTACTTTTGGTCTATTTAATGTTCGAATTTTCGATTTAATATTCATGAATTTTCTTCTGTCAGGAGATGGGGATCTACCGAAAAACTCATTTGATTGTTTATTATAATAATTCTCATGCATTAAAACATTAAGCATATATATATATATATATACCTTGAGCGTTCATCACTAGATTCAACTTGACGTTTCCTTAATCGCAGTCTTCGTTGATAATGAGGATCTTTTTCGCTTTGTGTGCGATATCGTGTTCCTGGTCTAAAACATCATTTGAATTATTTGAATACTTTTTATGTTTCAAGTGTTATATGAAATAACCATTAATTAAATATTACCTATTAGCATTCCATTGTGGTCTAGATTCAATAGCTCTTCTAGGTCGAGGTTTCAATCGGGGAAAAGTTTTCATGATATTTTCTTCTGACGAACCAATGTTAGTAGACCTTTCAAATTAACAAATAAGTATTGAACATAACATTTAATAATATATAAATATCCCATCATAGTTAGAGCATCGAATATTTGCATATTTGTAAATATTCAAATATAACGAAAACAAGTATAATTTGCAAGAATAAATAATACGTATTCATGCAAATGAATATACAATAAAGTAAATGTAATATAAAAGAAAAAATAATAGCACAATAAAGTGTGGAAAAAATAGAATTTCAAAAAACGAAATGAAATAATAATTACCGCTTCTATTTGCAAGACAGAAGAATAATATCCTCTACGACTCTTCAAGTTTTGAAGTGATTCAATGCATCATATTACGACTCACTTTTCAATGTCCCTTTTACTAGCATTCGTTGCATCCTTGGGGTCCTTCATAGAGCTATCCTTGATGGTCAAACCCTGTACTTTCTCCGAAAAATCCTGAAGATCACTATCTAAATCTGTCTGCGTGCCAAAATCTCGACCGTTTGTGGATCTGTACTTGCTTGGCGTAAGTAATCTGTTTTCTACGATTGTCGATGGAATTCTGGATGAATTTGGAATAAAATTCGAACTTCCCATATTTTGTATGAAGGTATTTAGGCCTATAGATAAATTATTGGTTGAATAATTTTCCAATTTTCTCGGTGTTGGAGTCAACACCAAGTTAACCAATTGTAGATTTGCCTTATTGAGCAGTTCCGAGTCTTCGAGTCGACCACTCAATACTATCGCCACATCTTTACTAACAGGAACTTGAACCGATTTTATATTATTCATATTTTGTTCTTGTTCATTTGAGACATTATTATTCTCGCTATTGTAATCGTACGTCTTATTATTATCATTATTAATATTGTTATTTTCTTTCTCTTTATGAAATGTTTCCAACTTGTCATGTTTGTCTTCATCATCATCATTATCGAAAGTTATATTCTGTTGGTTTCTTGTACTTAGACAATTTTGATCGAACTGACATTCACTCAAAGCATTCGATTCACTGTCTGTAGAGGATACAATGTGATTTTCTTCGATACCTTTCTCACATTTACGTCGAATTTTCTTTTGCTCCTTTGCTAAACGTTCTGCTGCTTCCAAAACCTCACGCATAGCCTCAGCTTGTCTTAATTTAGCTGCTTCCCGTTCCTTCAGTTTTCTTTGCTCTTCTTCAAATCTAAGATGAAAATGATTTATCACTGAGCAATCATAATTCTATTGTAAAATATATAAATAAATAATTAATTGTAAAGGTAAACTCAATTCATTTGTACCTTTCTTTCTCTTTTTCTCTTTCTCGTTTGATTCGTTCTTCTTCTAATTGTTCTTCCTTTAGTCTTCGTTCCTTTTCTTCCTTTCTTTGTCGATCTTTTTCTTCAAGTTGTTTTTTAATCGCATTTTGAAGTTCTAGAGCTTTCTGTCTTTTAGCTTCTCGTTCTTGAAGAATGTCGGCATCGACAGGAATGTTTTGACCACGAAGGTAAGTCTTGTCGAGTCCAATTGAGCCTATCGTTGAACTATCCGAACTGCTTGCACTCTCATGATTAATAACCAGAACCTTGATAAATATCAATAAAAGATTACAAATTTTTAATATTAAGATCTTTGGTTCAAATAAATCAAAAGAGTGAAAAATATAGTTTGTTTCTTCTATTTAATACAAATTATAACTGAATAATTATTGCAGCTAAATTAGAAAATATTTTTGACAAATCGTACTTGACTCGAATGTCCTAATCTTGACAACCAAGAAGGTGGTGGTGGATCTCCCCGTGCAGTCTCCTGACCCCAGACACTACCCCACCTTGGCCTGTTAAGTTCGCCCATTCTACCATCAGATAATCTTCTTGATGGTGGTAATGAACTTTCAGGTGTCGTGTGGTAAGGATTCTTCCACGTCTTTTCGGCCATTTCAGTTCCTACTGGTTTGCAACCCGGTAACAAATCTAAAATGAAGTACATTTCATGTATTCTTATTATACATATTGAATTATATTTAAATTCTAATATTTTTATTATTATAAATTTATATCATAGATTCATATCATATTAAATTTAATTACAATTTCAATCAATTAAATTCCAATATTTTTAACTATCAAGTATCTTTAACTAGTAAGTATTATTTTTAGTTTTATTTACTTTCTTTATAAATAATTATAATTAATATAAAATTAGAATTAGAATTTTCACAAATACAAATATTATTTAACTTTAAAACCTTGCTTCACTAGCAAGGAAAAACATAAACTTACTTCCTTTCGTTGATACAGGTACGTCAACAGAGTCGCTAGCGTAACCGGAAGTCTCTCCTTCACGTTCTTCTCCCTGTGAGCCGTAATAATTATTCTTCGTATTCTCGTGACGATCATAAGGTCGATGCAGTTTCTCAGAATGGTAATGTAATCCTTCGATTGCGAAGTCTCGCTGTTGACCCTATAATAAGAAAGGACGAATTTATTCGGAAAGGAAAAAGTTTGCGTGACGAAAGAGCAATTCTTTGCTTTTCATCAATCTTAAAATCGTTCCCTTTAACGTGAATGCATTAGATATGATTACTGTGCCAGTGCGAGGCAGGAACGACAAACCGTAATAGGGTTCCGTATCGACTTTTGTAATTTATAGTGTTGGTTCGCTATTTTAATGTCAGATTCAAGCTAGGTGAATACGATTCTTTTAATTCTATTACATTTCGTTACTTTAAGAAGGACAATTTCCTAATATTTTTAGACCTTAAATGTCACCACTCTTGATAACCAATTTCATTAAAAATAATTAAATCAACCATCTTGATAGATATATACGTACAAAAATAGATATATACAAGGTGTCCAAGAAATGGTAGTACAACCGGAAAGGGAGTGATTCTACATGCAGAAATAAATCGAATCTTAGCTATACATAGCTATGGTTTATATGAACAGGCCGTCAATACATGAGTATCGGTGGTACAATCGAGGAGGAGGTCATTCTATGTGAAAAAACAAATCGACAATAAAGAATAAAATTTTTTCATTCGAAGCTTCGTTGTCGAGATAATCGACTTTGAATATTCACCGAGTGCACGTGCACGTAACTTTGGCTATGGCGGATGGACCATCAGTATACCAGCACACCCGGTGGAAATTCAAAGTCGATTTTCTCGACAACGAAGCTTCGAATGAACAAATTTTATTCTTTATTTTCGATTTATTTTTTCATATAGAATCACCCTATCCTCGGTTGTACTACCGATGCCGATCTAAGGCACAGCTAAGTGCACGTGTACCCGATGGATAATCAAAGTTGATTTTCTGAACAACGAAACTTCGAATGAAAAAATTTTATTCTTTATTTTCGATTGGTTTCTGCATGTAAAATCACCTCCCTCCGGGTTGTACTACCGTTGCTGGTACATCCTGTATACATATTAAAATTTATGTTAATATCTTTAAAATCTACATTTCTTCTTGAAACTACGTGTCTAACTTGAAGTTGATGTGAGATATGATTGCTTCGACATTTCATATTTGCTCTATATTCAACGAAGATCTAGGTATGTACATAGAAAGTAGATAATTTTACTGAGAAACGTGGTCACAGGCACACACACATGAATATATGTATGTACAAAGGGTAGTTAAGAGGTGAGTGAACCTTAGCTCGAAGATAAGAATCGATTTACCAGACTGCCTTACTTTTGCTTTCCCCTCACGAATAAGACACAGTCACATTTAACTTTCAACACAAACTTGAAGCAGCAATTAAAAGTATATGCTCTTTATTCGGTCATCGTCCGGAACTACTTTTAGAATAAATTGTGTACATTAAATATTTGGAAGCAATCGGTCATGAAAACAGACATTACGATTATCTTAAATTCTCCTCTATCTATTTCATCGTTTACTTATTTTGATTATAGATACATTTATCTCGTAATACCACTCGCATCATTTAATGCATATCGTGATCAGATTATCTATGGAAATAAAACGTGACAGGTAACAATTTATTATTCATACTATGAAATATAACATCGTATTACGTATATTTACAAAATCTAAAAATATACCTTCGATATATTTTCTTTCTAAAACTAACAATAGTTCCAAAGTTCTGAATCCATTAATCACGTACACGCGATTAGAAAATACAAAATGGCCTAAACGATAATTTTAATTCATATAAATAAAAGAAAGATTTATAAATAAATTTAGTTAGCTGAGTCAAAAGACATTAGAATTTTTAATAAATAATGTTCCTTTAAAATTCTACTCGAAATTTTCAACAGAAAATACGTTTTCTTTTTTATCACTATAACGGTTACGATATTTCTAATACTATATTCAAAAAACTTTAAATATTACAAAGAAATATCATACGTGTATTATAGCTATTTGGGCTTACGATGAATTTTGTCCTTTTAAAGAATTTTTCCAATGCAAATCTAATAAAGTCACATTTTTGAATGGAACTATTATTTAAAAGTCGATTTACTGATCCGATTTAAGCGTACGTGATCCAAACGTATCGTACAGACAAACCTGACAAAGGTATTGTTGTTGATCCTTGTTATAAATCGGTGGTAAGCTTGGGCTCCTGTGCCTGATTTGCGACACTTCCGGTTGCTCGTGCAGATTTATCAAGCTACCACCATTGCAGTCCAGACACTTTACGCTCGTATCGCCGTTTCCGGGACTCTCTGTCGCCAGATTCTTCAGGCTGACGGTGCTTCCGTAATGACCAGTAGCACGAAAAGGTTTCGAGGACGACTGTTTGTCCTTTGTTTCCGATATAAAATTAGAATTAGAATTTTCACAAATACAAATATTATTTAACTTTAAAACCTTGCTTCACTAGCAAGGAAAAACATAAACTTACTTCCTTTCGTTGATACAGGTACGTCAACAGAGTCGCTAGCGTAACCGGAAGTCTCTCCTTCACGTTCTTCTCCCTGTGAGCCGTAATAATTATTCTTCGTATTCTCGTGACGATCATAAGGTCGATGCAGTTTCTCAGAATGGTAATGTAATCCTTCGATTGCGAAGTCTCGCTGTTGACCCTATAATAAGAAAGGACGAATTTATTCGGAAAGGAAAAAGTTTGCGTGACGAAAGAGCAATTCTTTGCTTTTCATCAATCTTAAAATCGTTCCCTTTAACGTGAATGCATTAGATATGATTACTGTGCCAGTGCGAGGCAGGAACGACAAACCGTAATAGGGTTCCGTATCGACTTTTGTAATTTATAGTGTTGGTTCGCTATTTTAATGTCAGATTCAAGCTAGGTGAATACGATTCTTTTAATTCTATTACATTTCGTTACTTTAAGAAGGACAATTTCCTAATATTTTTAGACCTTAAATGTCACCACTCTTGATAACCAATTTCATTAAAAATAATTAAATCAACCATCTTGATAGATATATACGTACAAAAATAGATATATACAAGGTGTCCAAGAAATGGTAGTACAACCGGAAAGGGAGTGATTCTACATGCAGAAATAAATCGAATCTTAGCTATACATAGCTATGGTTTATATGAACAGGCCGTCAATACATGAGTATCGGTGGTACAATCGAGGAGGAGGTCATTCTATGTGAAAAAACAAATCGACAATAAAGAATAAAATTTTTTCATTCGAAGCTTCGTTGTCGAGATAATCGACTTTGAATATTCACCGAGTGCACGTGCACGTAACTTTGGCTATGGCGGATGGACCATCAGTATACCAGCACACCCGGTGGAAATTCAAAGTCGATTTTCTCGACAACGAAGCTTCGAATGAACAAATTTTATTCTTTATTTTCGATTTATTTTTTCATATAGAATCACCCTATCCTCGGTTGTACTACCGATGCCGATCTAAGGCACAGCTAAGTGCACGTGTACCCGATGGATAATCAAAGTTGATTTTCTGAACAACGAAACTTCGAATGAAAAAATTTTATTCTTTATTTTCGATTGGTTTCTGCATGTAAAATCACCTCCCTCCGGGTTGTACTACCGTTGCTGGTACATCCTGTATACATATTAAAATTTATGTTAATATCTTTAAAATCTACATTTCTTCTTGAAACTACGTGTCTAACTTGAAGTTGATGTGAGATATGATTGCTTCGACATTTCATATTTGCTCTATATTCAACGAAGATCTAGGTATGTACATAGAAAGTAGATAATTTTACTGAGAAACGTGGTCACAGGCACACACACATGAATATATGTATGTACAAAGGGTAGTTAAGAGGTGAGTGAACCTTAGCTCGAAGATAAGAATCGATTTACCAGACTGCCTTACTTTTGCTTTCCCCTCACGAATAAGACACAGTCACATTTAACTTTCAACACAAACTTGAAGCAGCAATTAAAAGTATATGCTCTTTATTCGGTCATCGTCCGGAACTACTTTTAGAATAAATTGTGTACATTAAATATTTGGAAGCAATCGGTCATGAAAACAGACATTACGATTATCTTAAATTCTCCTCTATCTATTTCATCGTTTACTTATTTTGATTATAGATACATTTATCTCGTAATACCACTCGCATCATTTAATGCATATCGTGATCAGATTATCTATGGAAATAAAACGTGACAGGTAACAATTTATTATTCATACTATGAAATATAACATCGTATTACGTATATTTACAAAATCTAAAAATATACCTTCGATATATTTTCTTTCTAAAACTAACAATAGTTCCAAAGTTCTGAATCCATTAATCACGTACACGCGATTAGAAAATACAAAATGGCCTAAACGATAATTTTAATTCATATAAATAAAAGAAAGATTTATAAATAAATTTAGTTAGCTGAGTCAAAAGACATTAGAATTTTTAATAAATAATGTTCCTTTAAAATTCTACTCGAAATTTTCAACAGAAAATACGTTTTCTTTTTTATCACTATAACGGTTACGATATTTCTAATACTATATTCAAAAAACTTTAAATATTACAAAGAAATATCATACGTGTATTATAGCTATTTGGGCTTACGATGAATTTTGTCCTTTTAAAGAATTTTTCCAATGCAAATCTAATAAAGTCACATTTTTGAATGGAACTATTATTTAAAAGTCGATTTACTGATCCGATTTAAGCGTACGTGATCCAAACGTATCGTACAGACAAACCTGACAAAGGTATTGTTGTTGATCCTTGTTATAAATCGGTGGTAAGCTTGGGCTCCTGTGCCTGATTTGCGACACTTCCGGTTGCTCGTGCAGATTTATCAAGCTACCACCATTGCAGTCCAGACACTTTACGCTCGTATCGCCGTTTCCGGGACTCTCTGTCGCCAGATTCTTCAGGCTGACGGTGCTTCCGTAATGACCAGTAGCACGAAAAGGTTTCGAGGACGACTGTTTGTCCTTTGTTTCCGCCAAGGACATTCTTGCGCCGCTCGGGTAGGTGCTGCGTTACGCGTTTTATTAATGTATCATAGAGTAGAAATAACTTGATTTACAATCGGGTCGATACAAGCACCCTGGCTAGTATTGAGCGTAGTTATTAAGTGTTACTTGTCTAATGAATTAGGCACGAGTACCTTGACCTTATTCGGATGTTGATGTGTTCTTGGACGATTTAGCGAAGTTCTTGAGAACCATCAATGTTTCCTTGTAGCTTATGTAGAACACAATGTTTAATTTATCGAATATCTTTGATCTACCTCGTTTAGCGATCGAATATTGCTTTAAACGATATTTGGAAAACTGGTCGATTAAAAATCGATGAAAGAGTTTTTGTAACATTAGAGTAATTATCTTGAATAATATCTAGAGTAATTACTTGGTATTTTATGAGCTTTAAAAAAATTTGAACAAAATTTATTGGAATATTTATTGCCATTGTAAATATATTAATACGACAGTAAAATCTTTTATCAAACTTTTAACTAATTTTAATCTAATTTAAACGGATTTTTAAAAAATGTTTTAATTAATCTCTCGAAAATATGTTACATTTGTACGTTTTAAGTACTTTTTGGCGTAATACCTTATGGATAATGTTCTATATAACTTAGTATTTTAAAGAATTTCTCGAGAAATATATTTAAGTATGTTAAAAAGTTAATATAACTACGTAAATTTATTGTTACGTTAAATTAAATTTATTTTTATTTAATTCTATTTTTAATATTCGATACTTACCGAATATTGGTGCGGATATTGTTATTATTTTTTAGAAGATCCCAATTCCCGCCAAGCCGAGCCATTTCTTCTATAGTATTTATGTAAAATATTAATTTTTCGTGCACTGTTATTATATTTTCATATTAATGGATTAATACTTTCCACATATTTAATTCAATACGTATATAAATCAAGGCTATTTATATCTCGCGGATTACATTAAAATTTTATATGAATTTGTATTTTAAAACAATTATTAATCTATATTTACTAACTAGAAGAGAGCACTCGGTATGCTATTTTCGAATGCGATATATTAACCTAATTCTAGATTTAATATTCTTCAATATCCAGAATTGTTTAAAAAAATCTCAATGATATTATATTTTCAGCAAAAATATTGAAAATTAAATCGCTCCAATGATTAAAATTCCAAGACTTACCTCTTTCTCTCGCCCATTGAATCCTTTTTTGTTCCACTAGTGATGTTCTCCCGATCATTGTTGGCGCGCGACACGGTTTGCGCGAAAAGAAATTTGCACGGTCGGTAATAACGGTACGGTCAAGTATGCAAAAAAAAAGAGAAAAAATAACCTACATCAACCAGTCTTTATTTAATGATAACGCGTGGTTATTTTACCTATTCAGCAGCTTTTTATCTTCAAACACTGGTGAACCATCCGATCTTCCAGTGTGACACGACTTCCGGCGCGAACATCGAGTTCGGAACCCTTAGATGTCAAAAGACGTTGCCTGAGTTCATCACGGGTCGTGTCAATATTTGAGACTGCGGTAGGCCTGCAAGACTGTACAAGGTTCACTTGATACATATATATATATATATATATATATAGATATATGGTTAGTATTAAACGCGAAAGGAACGCGCGGTCGCGATTCGATCGCAAGCTACGTTTCTATGGGAACAATCGTGAATCAACCATGGAACCTTTTGCACTACTGTCAGGGTCGATAATATTGACCAGACTAGCTAGATAAGGGATAATGACCTCCAACCGTCTATTTGACGGTCAGACATCACATCTATGACAGAAGGATATGAATGCAGATGTATAATTGAAAATATGAAATAATTACAACGAATAATGATTCAAATAACTGTATTAACATAAAACAAAAGATATAAGTTTCATAACTGTATACATAATTGTAAATGGGAGTCATATTCCAATAAAAAATAGTATATATTTTATTTAAGTAATGGAAGTATCTTCCCACAAGATACTTTAACATACATATATGTATATATAAAGTAGGAAATTTATTTTGCATATCTTTTATGAATGATAGGCTTCATTATTATTAATGTAGCAAATCAACATCATGTTCAGTTTATTAATTAAATAATCGCATATTTTTATTTAATCTATATTTAAATGGCACAAAAAATCAATTTAAACTAATTTAAAGTTATAAAAGCTGATAATATAAATATATATATGTAATTATTATAAATTATTAATGCATTATAAATTATTAAATTATTAATACATTATATTTATACACCAAATATTTTCTATGACTCCAAAAAGTAATTTATGATTGGTATATCATTCTTGCAAGTTGTTTCATATATGCCGCTGATCTTTTAAACTCATTACCATTTAAGTATATTATGTTACCATCTGTTAATGAAATAATGAACTAACCATTATCATTGTGGCGACATCTTATAATGATAACTTAATCAAATTATTAATGAAATGTGCATTTGTAAGAAAACCTATTCTTTAAAAATGGAACTGAATAAAATTATTTACTAATTCCCATTCCATACAGCACAACTTTTAAGTCCGTTTATTTTTGATATTTCTACTTTCGATTCTATTTCTAATTTCTGTTTAAAATTTGAAAAAATGGTAAGTAGAATGTAATGCTTTTAATCTATTAAGAATATTTTAAATTATGATTTACGTAAAGTTAAAATCCTTCAATTTTGTTGTTCTTTAATTGTTATAAAATTACATATATATCAAAGATTTTTTGTAATGAACATTTCTTTTTTTTATATTTTTATTTTTTAGTAAAATAACTAGCTGTAATAGTATTAAATTGTATATAATTGCACATTATTTAAATTTAATTATTAAATTTGAATTACACATAATATTTTTAAGCAAAATATCAAATAATATTTCATGCTATCTACAAATAAATTTTTAATTACCATAAGAAAAGTAACAACAAACATCTAATATGACATTACATTCTATAGTCTGTGGTAAATTTTGCATAGTTTTAAAAATATTCTTATAGAAAAAGTTAGGTCATTAATTGGATAAAAAAATATTATACAATAGAGAAAAATGATAAATTCGATAAAAAATAAGAATAAACTTAGTGTGTATCATTACAAAAAATGTTTTTTAACTTAAAATATAGAATGAAATCAAGCAGCTATTAAAATCAAATTTATATTTTATAAATCTATGTATCCGTATGTTTTTACATGAAATATCGTTTTTCTTAGATATATTTTTAAATATTTAAAGAATCGTACGTACTAAGCAAAAGTTTTTTATATTCTAGTATTTACATATTATGCTTTAATATACTGCGAAACATTATGGTTAATTTATGTTTATTTATTCTAGATATAAAGCATAAAAATCAAAATTATACCAGTGTTCAAATATTTTTGTGTCCTACTGTATGCGTATTATAATACATATTTTTAACGATAGTGGCGTGTATGATGTGATCTTGTAGCCGGAATTATTTGTAACTTATTTGAATTAAATGCTTATTAGAAAGAAGTAAAAAATGTCTTTAGATCAAACAGTGTGTGAAGGTAAAGGTGAAAACTTAGTAGTCGAAACGATTAGTTTATTATGTTTAGTAAAAAGTCATAGTGACACAATAATGATGTACACAGTAAACAGCAAACACTTTTAAGGTTATCTTGTGTTTCCTTATACTTTTGTTATTTTCAGATCTAAAAGCTTTTGAAAGACGACTTACTGAAGTAATTGCTAGTTTACAGCCAGCTACTTTACGATGGAGAAGTATGTTCTTTATTTTTTTTTTGGAATTTTTAAATTTTATACATTCAAAAATTATCTTATTAAATGATAATATAACGCTAATGTTGTTTATTTGTATCACTATTTATGAGAATGTATAAGTAATAATTATGTTTTGTTAATATTGCACATACATTTAATGTAATATTATTTTTAGTGTTGTTAGGTTTCATTTCTGTGTGTACTGCTGTTGGTGCATGGCATTGGTTGACAGATCCAAATACACCAGCTGTCTCATTTACTCAAAGCCTATGTAATCATCCATTCTTTGCAATTGCTAGTATTATTTTAGGTAAGTACACTTGATATAAAGTTTCTGTTGAAGTATATGGACAATTATTGTTAATTTGTTTCAGTTATATTATTTATGATGGGAGTCCATAGACGTGTAATAGCACCAAGTATTATAACTCAAAGAGCTAGAAGTGTTCTTGGAAATTTTAATATGAGTTGTGATGATACTGGAAAGCTCATTCTTAAACCAACAAGATCACGACATCATGAAACATAAAAAAAGAAAAAGACAGACTTTATGTTAATTTTTGAAGTGTTCATTAATACCTGAATTACTGTGCAGGGTGTCCATAAAGAATATATATATATATACACATTTTTGATACTAGTATAAGATATAAGATATTTTTCTGTTGTACTTAGTATTTAAAAGAATGATGATATTTTATTATATCTAATGCTTCAAATTGGTAATTTTTATTCTTTAAAACTTTAATCACACATTCAAATTCATACACAAAAATATAAAAAATAAGTTGTAAATTATATAATGATTTTGGAATATAGAAAAATGTTTAAATTATGTATACTCTATATGCATTCATTCTGAACACTCTTCAACAATAAATAATATATTAGAAATGATTACCAAAGCAATACAATAATCTTCATTTATAATAAAATAATATCAGTCAAGACTTATCCATATATCATAGCAATAATAAATACAATTTAATGTATATTCTATTGTACATATGTTAATGTCATAATTTCCTAAGTAATATAATTCTTAGCTACAAGAATATTTGTAAATTCGTTAAATATTCTTATTTATTGTACATATACATTGTGATTAGAAACAAATTTTAAATTTGAACATACATTACTGTGAATACCACATATTTTTCAATCAAATAAACAATATAACTCTTGCCATTTACGTTTGCTAAAAATTAGCACAAGTTAAGGTTTTTATATGTGACTTAATTAGTGTATGTTACATGTATAAAAACACAATTATGAATGTAAGTATTTTAATAATTCTAAACTCATATGTAAAAGATACAATTTGATTGTATATTCTAAATATGTAAAATAAATTTGTTAATTTACTTTAAATAAGTAAAATTCCTTACCAAAATTCTGTGTTATATTCTCTAAACACATGTAATTTTAAATTTTACATTTTATATTTGTTTTTAATTCCTAACCTTTTTGATCGTGGTCCGATTTATAATCCATCTACAAGTGAATTACCTTAAATAATATAATATGAAGACATAAACAATAACATTTGAATATTTGCAATGTTGCAGTTGTCGCAAGGTTGTAGTTATAGTTATTAAATAAAACATACTATCATAACGATCAAAACATTTATTCGTTTTAATATTTTGCATATTATTACAATTTTCGCAATGCACAATCACGCGATTTATTTCGTACAATATTACATATACAATGTTATTTATTTACGCAGATCAGTATTCATTCAAAATCAACTTTAGCGTTATGATTTAAGACGCGTTTCTCAGTCCCAGTATTATATTACCTACGATATATATATACAAGGGATAATTACCAAATGTTATAAGTATAATATTTTGAAACATTGCTTGTAAACAATGTTTAGGCAACTAAAAATTTTCAGTATTTGTGGATTTCTAAGTGCACATTTTTAACGTATGTAATATATTCTGTTACTTTGTAAATGTTTTCTTTTTTGTTTCTAGTGGAAGTCTTCACGATAACAAAGTTGGAGTAATTTCATGGAAAAAGAAATCATATTATTTATGATATAAAGTAATAACATGTTTATTCAAACTCATTGTATGTTTTGCTATTTATAATAGACCCAATCTATGAGCAATATATTTAAAAATTATTAACTGATTAAATATTCATTTAATAGTAAAAGATGAGATTGTGTGAAATTTCGATATTTCGATGAAATTTGTTCGATATTTTGAGTTCCTTATACACTGTGTAATTAGCAAAGCAGGAACATTATTACTTTGGACCTAACATTTTTTTTTATTTTTCAAGATGCTTCAATAAAAATGTATGTGCATCCGTTTTAATAATTTTTAATTACAAAACAAAAGAACACAAACAGGCAATTTGCAATTCAAATATAATATTGAAAATTACTGGCACGATAATTTTATAAATTCTGACGTGTTATACAATTACTTGGTTCGTTTGCTTATTCACATTATTAAAGTATTTTGTAAAACGATTTTACGATATCCGTTTATCAGTACCTTTTCATTTCATAGTTTGTAATTACATGCGAGGATCAATATTTAATAATTAAATATTGAAAAGTAGAAAGTTATAGTATAAGATATATCTCATCACAAAAACCAAGCTAACATAGCATGGTTGCATTCATTTATGCGTGGAACTCAAAAATAATTCATTGATCGTGCTTTCTAAACTCACGTGCTAGTGCATAGAAAACAAATCACCAGCTGAAGGAAGTGGTGCTAATCCTCCCGTAACATCAGGTAATTGTGTCAAATCAGGCAAATTGGAAATATGTGACTTTACTTCAGATCGGACAGCACATACTTTTTTGAGTTTTTCTTTATAGTCCTGTAACATTATTAAATACCACATTATTATATTATATATATAT